TGTCGTTGACGTTTGTGTAATGTGGTGGTTCTAAATTCGACTATTAACGTACCGTTCCGCTATTTACGTGCAAAAATAAATATGCATAGATACTTCGAAGTCATAATAATTTAATTGCTCATTCTGCGCAATGGATGACAAAATCATTGACGAATGATTACCTTAACGAAATTTCGGTGGTCTAGAATGAATAAAAAATTGCGAATTCTTTTTCTTATTAGAGCTGCGCGAAATAATAAAAGGCGAAGCTTCGGTAAAGAGATGCGCAGTCTTATCTATACTCGTGCATATTAGGCGTGACCATAGGCGTAGGCAGGAGTTTGTCGTGGGAAGGGGGGGGGGGAGCAAATCATGTTGCATCGCGTTTGGGGAAGAGAAACATCACTCACTGGTGCAGCTTGCGTGAGGGGAAAAGTTCTGATGTGGTTTGAAGGGGCAAGTGCTTCTGTGCATCCCCCTACCGACGCCCTTGGGCGTGACTGCTTTGGGCTATTAAGATTATCCATCGAAAGCTTACTCGCTGCCGTTTTCTATATGTATACACGTTGATGTCATCTAACTGCTCGTCACATGAACAGGATTTGGGAACATGTGCGCGTAGCGCCATCTCTCGTGGGCCACAGCGCAACTGAATGGAATGTAGACAATAAAAAATCATATCTGATGCAAAAAGCTAGTTATCAAAAACGACTTCCGGTTTTATACAGCGGAGACCTACTTTAACGGTCTGGCAAAGTCATAGAGCCGCACACAAAACCGCCTGGCTTCCCACGCGTTTCTAGGGATGCTGTCCAATTGTCCTGGGAAGCCGCACGCTTTGTAGTGCGATACCGCAGCAGTTTTACCGAAATGTACCAGTGGGTCTCCGCTGTATATATGCTCGGACTCGTTTTTGATAACTAGGTTTTTCAAGAGATATTTTTCCGATATATTTTCCATTCATTTACGGCAGGCTGCCGTTCCTGCTGCCGAGAGATGTTGCCACGTCCAGGTGTCCCTTATTCCTGGGAATGCTTGTTGGTTGATTGGCTGGTGTGACGTCCCCAAGTGACTCGGTCTGTGAGAGATGCCGTAGTGGAGGGCTCCGGATAATTTCGGCCACATTGATGAAAAAGGGGTGGGGCTCTTCAGTGTGCACGAAAATTGAAAGGTAGACGGGCATCTTTTGTGACTGCCGCGGCCGGTGAGACCGAACACGCAAATTTCCGAATCAGCCGCCACGCGGTGGCACGGTCGTTACGGCGCTGGGTGGCTCATCGTCACTTATTCTTTACCGCACAAGGTGCTCTTGATATTGTTGTGACCGGGGTTAGCGGCACCGGAGATCCGGGATCAAGATGTCGAGGCAGGAGGAGGTAGAACTTCGTAGAGAGGGTTTATTTAAAATATTTACATGGCACGGGCTCTCTGGCCCGAAGCTCTACATTGAAAGCTCTACATTGCAAAAATGCTGTCTATTGAACAAGCTCCGTGAACCACCCTATAAGCAGCCCACCATGGCTGTTTATGAATAGTATCTTCTCCCCAGCTCCCTAGATCGGGGAACAGGTTCATACGGCACTGTCCTATAACATGTCCCGCAGCACACACGGCTGTCATTATGCTGGCACCGCCCCCAACAAACACACATACACAAACGGTATGGTAACGATAGAGCAGAACGACGACACAGAGACAAGAAGGACACGAAGGACACTTTGTGTCGTCGTTCTGTTCTCGCGCTATAACTATCGTCATGTCATACCAACTAGCTTAAGCTGCCACACGTGTATTGTCCCGGTGATGCTACTTCCTTCGGCGAATCTTGCTTGAGCGGGGTGAAACGAGTCTGTCATCTCGCCGCTCGGGCCGACCACCCATGCTTTGTCGAACGGCATTCGCGGTCTAGGCGCCTCCGAGGGGCCTTGCCTGGACACCTGGTGCTGATTTGAGCGTCGGCGGCTCATCAGTCTGAGACGCACAGCTTGATGGTCCGACGTCCGTAATCAGCGGAAGCTTGGCATTGTGGCTTTTACCGGGGCACGAAGACGCCACGTGTCGCATCTCTGCGCGGACCCGAAGGACAGCGGTGCTCCATAGAGTAATTTCTGCCACGCAGCGCCCAGCACGTGGAAACAGCAGGGTGTCTTGGTGCTGCTCCTTATCTCCACAAAATTACGCGGCGGCCTTTCTTCTGTTCTGGTGGCCGCGGCAAAAGGGTGGTGCCGTCACAGAAATGACGCCGAAGATGCACAAAATCAGATGGTATAGAAAATCGTTAAAAAAAAAAGTTTCGTCAACGGAAGTCGAGCCCATCACCTCCAATCCGTGGCAGCAGATACCGGGCACCACCATCACACGTTCGGCAAACTTCACAAGCGCGGCTTTGCTCTAACAAATGTTCTTGGTCTTAGGGACGAGGTCACTGTCTACGAGTGGTAAGTGAACCAATGCATCGCGACTGGCCTCCGCGATCACCTCCTGCAACGCGCCGTTGCGGTACGCGTCCGAACCATTCGGCGCGTTTTCGAGAAGTGCAACTTTGTCAACGCTTAACACACCGCGAGGTGTTCGCCTTAGCCCAAGCATGGGCCTCGCTCTTATAAAAACAGCTCTGCGACTGCCTCGCCTCGCTGTTAAGTGCCGCGCGATGGCCCAATGCGTCCGATTCGCCGCTCTTCTGTCTGTCACACCGCTTTCTCCGATTGCGCTCTCACCGTTAACTGCTGCATGCAGCTTCAACAAAGATTCTCTAATGATCATGGATGTTAGTCGCCGGGTTGCAGATGGGTGCGTCCACGTTAACGGTGCTATGGCCTGCAAACATCAATGGAAATTGTATACAAATTTTCATATCAGTGTGCAACAATCAGCTACTCCTGTAAAGGCATGTATCGCTTTCGTGTTATGCCGATTCCCCATGATATTCGAATAAATCATGCTTTTTTTTTCGTATTATTCGCATTAGGGCGCACTGTGCAGTTGAGAAATTCAAGCCTAGTGGCACCGAAGTCGCGTATTTTAGCAGTAATCTTTTGAGTAGCGCCACTCTAAACATCTCACCTTCAGCGGCGTATAGTGCGAAATACTACGTTGGCGTTCGACTTAAAGCTCCCCGATTGACGGTGCACGTATGAAAGAAATTTGGAGGTCCGAAGTTCTTCTCACAAAAACGCAGGGTGTCTACACTATATAGTTGCGAAGTCTCCAATGTCTGAACGCTTTTGCGGCTTCGTGTGCAGTTTCCGGAAATCGGCCGCACAACTTTTCGACCATTTCGTGGAACTTCGCACCTGGGCGCATTGTTTCGGCTGCGTTGATTTCGAATTTGCCAACCCATATCACGCTGTCGTAGAAGAGGTTTTTCTTTGGATTTTTGTTTTTCGGCGTGTCGTTGTGCATGTATGAAAAAAGTATGTAATATTTACGAGCGACAAGTATGCAGCATGCAAGGGGCGAAAATGTTATTTTATTTTTAATGGTTATCTTTAGACTCACTCTCTCTCGCTCACGTACGCGTGTGTGTATTTAATTCGTTCGCGTGATTTAGATAAAAAAACTTCGCGATTGTTATGCGTTCAATGAAGAGCACGCTTCGTTTTTATGCTTTCTTTAAATGAAAAATTAATCTCGAACGTTTCGTATATACGTGTTACGTCTCATATAAACGTATCTCGTGTTTCTAGCGCATACACACTTAGTTTGACGTGTGTTCTGCGGCAGGTTTGATTGCATAAATGGGACTTGGGTGTAAAGAGAAACATATGAGATATTTTTGTAGTACTGGAAATTGGGGCATTTCTTTGGGACGCGAGCTACAAGTTTTTCTTCGCAGTTGCAAGCCGGATTTTTCGGCTGAGTCATGTAAGGCTATCGCTTCAATGAAACAGTGCAAACTCGAGGGGCTAAAACAAACTTTATATCAATATTTGTTCGCCGCCCACTGTTAACACTGTGGGGAGGAGGAAATATATAAGCGGAAGGACAGGCAGGTTAACATTGGGGGAAAGGAAGGAAGGCAGGAAAAACTTTATTCGCAAGGGTTTGGGACAGGGGTCATGAGCTGGATGGGTGGGGTCCCAAGTCCAGGGCTCCGCTGGCTGCTGCCGCCTGCCTGACGTGACCCAGAAGTGCAAGCTGCACCTCTGGGTCAGAGCAGGCGAGCTGTACCTCCCATTGCTCGGAAGTATTAGAAAGCTTGTGTTGACCTAAAATGGTGTCTAAATTTGGTGGCCAGTTTAGGCATCCCCACGAAATGTGGCAGAGCGATGGCGAGCCGCCACACCACGGACAGGTGTGCTCATACAGCGCTGAAAAAAAAAAAAAAAATCTTTGAAGGTTGGGAAAGACTCCCCTTTGCGGAGGTCAATCGCGTCCTCCCCTACTAATGATTGGTGGCGGGGGGTGGGGGGCTGTAATTTTGTCGCGTGCCTCACTGGTTAGCAAGAATTTCGCGAGGGGCCATTCTGGATGGGTCGTTATCCTCCTCATGAGCTTCCTCATGGAGTGTTTCAAAAGGATTCAAAGTACTGTCTAGGCTCTGCTCGGTTCGAAAGCCCTCGAGAAAAAAAAGGGTCAGCACCTTCGTTTCCCTCCAGGCCTGCGTGTTCTGGACACCAGATCAGCCTGTATTGGTTCGTCAGTCTCCCGCCTAAGAATTTAGTTTTTTTTTGTCGAAGTGTTTGGTGGTAATGATTGTTATGTTATTTCCGGGGGGGGGGGGGGGGGGCAGATTTTCGATCTTTTTTTTTTTTTCGGGGCCAATCACGATTTCATACATAATTTATGTCAATGCTTGCAGAAAAAGCCTAGGGGAATGAAATTACTCATGAGTAAGATAATTTACATTCATTTATTTATGTTTTTTTTTAATCTTGAATAGACGGATGTTTTGGGCATTCATAAAAAAACGTGCACCTATTTCTGGGGTAAGCCTACGTAGTGTACAAGAACTCGGGACCGGATATTTTTCCATCTTTCTATTAAACGGTTAATGATGTCATTTTCTCTATTGTTCGTAGGGCGACCATGCTGGCGGTAACATCGCTGCTGGTGGCGCTGCTGTCGCTGTCGTCCGCGCAGTACGCTGGCTACATGGACAACAGGATCGACAGCGTGCCAATTCACCACCAGCAGCCGTGAGTGCATGAAGTCACCTTGTAGCTCGCGTATATATTGCTGTGGCTTTCTTTGTGTTTTTTTTTCCTTTTTCCACCTCAATTCTTCAAAAAACTCTGTTCATAGCGAACGCTGTTCATTAAGCTTTAACCATTGCATTTTTGATAGCATATTTTAACTGTTTTACATATCATATCATCCTAAGTATGTATAAGCTATACGTGCGAAATTACCATAAAACGTAAACTTTTTTTTTTTTGATGGTGGCACATTTCTCGGGATTGTTGTCCGCACTTTTTGCCCAGCCGCAAAAGCGAAGCCTGGCGAGATGGAAAGCATTCGTCGAAGCTAATTGGGGGAGAGAGAAGCCCAGAGTAGCGGTTTGAGGCTGGTGGAGAAAGTGGAGAGACGTGGAGAGAAGAGCAAAGGCGCTAGTGGAGGAAGTGCTGTGGAGAGGAAAAGAAAACGGGAGTGCGATTGGCGCTTCTGCAAGTAAAGCTGCTGTGGTGGTAGGGTGTCTTAAAGGATTGATTGATTGATTGATTGGTTGATTGATATGTAGAGTTTAACCTCCCAAAACCACCATATGAATATGAGAGACGGCGTATGTAGTAGAGGGCTCCGGAAATTTCGTCCACCTGGGCTTTTTTTAACGTGCACCCAAATCTGAACACACTGGCCTACAGCATTTTAGCCTCCATCGAAAATGCAGCCGCCGCAGCCGCCGGGATTCGATCCTCCGATTCGCGGTGCCTTAAAGGAGTACAGACATGAATTAAAAAAAAAAGCTGTTTTCAAAATGATTTCGGATTGTGGTTCCAAATAAGAACACGGGGCTCGAGAACTGTATAAAGAGTACTGTGGTGTCTGGGAATGCATCACATATATATTTAATACCGCTACCTTAAAAATACAGAGGTTTCGATATCGGGAAGGCGGCTTTTCCGTGACGTGTCATGGCCGTGTGACGTCAAAGGAAGAAAGCGATTTGGGACCAACTGCTAGTGTAACACGTAAATTACAACGATGAGTGCATTGTCTACAGCAATGCCGACAGTGATTTCTGTTATTTAGGGTGCATACGGGACGCTGCTGTAGGCCCGTGTGCTCAGATTTGGGTGCACGTTGAAGAACCCCAGGTTGTCAAAATTTCCAAAGCCCTCCACTATACAACACCTCTCACAATGACATGGTGGTTGATCATATCACCGCCATATGGTGATATGATCGCATATAAATTGTCAAACTCCACATATCTATCAATCAATGCATGCAGGACGCAGAGTCTGCAAAATCTGTGGATCTGTGTTGACTCGTCGGGATAATGTATATGCGGTGGGGCTGGCTGCTGGTTCTCAGCGCAGGAAATTTAAAAACGAAAAAATATACTTCCTCCGTGTTGGCTGACTCAAGTATGTGGAGAGTGCTAACACTGCATACCAAGGAAACGAAAAATGTACATTTTGGGACGGTTCAAGGTCATGTCAGTCCCGAGCTCGCATCAGGGCACTCTACTATGGTAGTGCTATAAAGTTACTATATATGCTACCTTTAGGTACAGTAACTCTGGGGAGCTCCTTCTCTCTCCTGTCCACTCCACGCATTCGCTCTAGAATGTTCGCCTCGCATCCTTTCGTGTGTACCCATGCAGACCATACCTATCAATGTGAAGCCGCTTGATTCCAAGAGAAGGCAGGTGAGAGGGAGACAAAAAGTTAGGTGGGCAGATGAGATTGGGAAGTTTGCGAGTATGAAATGGTAGCAGCAAACACAGGACCGAGTTGACTGGCGGAAGGAACATGGGAGAGGCCTTTGTCCTGCAGTGGGCGTAGTCAGGCGTGGTGATGACAATGATATATATTGCAGGTACTGCAGGCCCTACTCGGGCCCAGGCAGAAGTGGGAACATCGTTATATGTAAACAATAACAACAGTAATTAGAACTGTCGCTAACATAGTGGGTAGATAACATTGATTACAATCAACAAAAAAAAATAAAAGTGAATCGCAATTATGTACATGCAGTAATATAACAATGATAAAACATGCACATACAACAATTCAGTACGTAAGGTAAATTGCACTTTATATACATCAAATGAAAAATGAACGGAAGAATCAACTGATTTCATTGCTACACAATATAAACATAATTTCATCTGTCAAAGGAAAGGAATGAATGATTTATTATATTAGTGGTAAGTACTTCTATTGGTAATTTATTTCAGAGAGATTTAATGTGGAAAAGGGAAACGTCGGTGCATTTTAACAGAACTTGTTGCTGGGCTAGTTGGTAGATCGTTTCTAAAAACTTCATTTAAGCGCAAAATTAGAGCATTGATAGCTTCGCTCTGATGTTAATGCGCGCATGTGCCACTTGTATATATTCAAGACTTCGTGCTATCAATAAATCAGTTGGAAGTGAGCGCTGTGTGTGTGTGTGTGTGTGTGTGTGTGTGTGTGTGTGTGTGTGTGTGTGTGTGTGTGTGTGTGTGTGTGTGTGTGTGTGTGTGTGTGTGTGTGTGTGTGTGTGTGTGTGTGTGTTTGTGTGTTTGCACTCAAATTAGGTTTTAGAGATACGTTTTAAGGTTACTAAACGGCTGCTTAACTGTTTTGTTGTGGTTTGTGTAACCAGATCGCATGGGGGGCTCAGTTGTATAGTTTTCGCACGGTATTTCGTAGTGACCGTTGTGAGGGGTATGAAGTCGATGGCAGGTACGGCGGGTTTCTTTACGGTAGCTAGGTCCTCGCCGTTCTCCGACATAGGCGATGCTCGCCAGTGAGGAGACTCGTTCTTGGAGACAGAACGAAGGTTTATTTACATGATGGAAGAGAGCATACTTACAGAGCATACTGTACAGAGATTCAGCGCTTATGTACACAATGTCTTTGGCTTTTATAGCCTGTCGAGCCCTTACACGGCAGTCCAAAAAAGGCGGAGACCAGCTGCCGCGATTCAGGTGACGTTAAGTGTCAGTGATCCACCCACCAGAAAGGGTGCAGATATTGGACTACTCGGCTGATGAAGAACACAGGCGCAAATGTCCAATGGGTGGCACGAGCGCACCACACAATGACGCACCCGGCCCACGCATTGAAGACTTCGCAGAGCGAGGGGGTAGAGTCTGGTCGAGAGGGAAAATCGAGCTCCTCTGGGAAGAAGATGGCAGCTGACATGAACGTCAGCAGCGGTCAATGGATAAGCGGTCCCTGGATAAGCAGCGGTCTATAAATAAGCGGTCCGCATTGTGTGGCTCTGCACAACAGGGGCAAATCACCACGTTCCTGCAAACTCCGCTCACATGACCCATTTTTCATCATTTACGGCACTGGAGTGATCTTGGGGTAAATGGACGTGCTATGCAATGAAAGTGTCCTACCTTCTGTGAGATCGGGGAAGGAGGGGGGTTCTGACGTCGTGCCGTGCCCGCGTAATAATGCCACGCGGGCCGCACGTTGCTGACCACCGTCCTAAAGGGTAGGTCGAGATAACCATATTCGTGACTGTCAGCCATGTGATTTTAACATTGGAGTGGAAGATGATGTGCAACAAGCGATAGAAGCAAAACGAGACAGTCGTGTCTTGCCATTTTTACTTTGGTAAAATGGTAAAGTCGTGTCTTGGTAAAGTCGTGTCTGGCAAATTTAATTTGGGGGTGCACAAGAATAACTTGTGCACCCCTACTTTCCTTTCACTTTATCTGTACCCTTTGTGATCATCAATGTAAAGTACTGGAAAGTGCTCTCACACGACTGTGTTTCAGTGTTCTTTATTCCCCACACCTTTATGCGCTGGAACGGGCTTAAGGGTACTTGTAAAACATGATCACAATTATAATCGTTTTAAACTTTAATCTCATGTGAGCCTATGAACTACCTGTCCCCGTTGCTTTTGCTGTTATTTTTTATGAAGTTGTACCAGCACTCAAAATGATTGTTTCTTTTGTATGTGTTGCCACTTTTCCATACTGTACCCATTGCATTGTTATAGGCTCATATTTTCATTTTTGTTTGTGAGTACTTATATTTTGTTTTGTAACTATATTTTGTTGAGTTGCCCTTCTGCAAAAAATGCCCTCGTGGCGCTACAGGTACCTTTATAAATAAAAAATAATAAATAAATAAATAAATAAATGTTTATTTATTTATTTATTTATTTATTTATTTATTTATTATTTATTTATTTATTTATACAACATTTGGTGTTGTGTATACCAGTGGTTTAGGTATGTTATAGGGGAATATAGAATTTTATCGTAATGGAATTTTTGCATATACATTGTTGTGTGAAAATTGGCAAAAGATCGAATGAAGATAATGGCCTTTTGTGACTGCCTTCCACACTTCTTTGCTATTATATAGCCTTTGTGCGACTTATCGTGATTTATAATTTAAGTTAGTCCCAACTATCGAGCCCACAGGTGACAAACATATCCTTAAACCAAGGGTGTGGGGCATTGCATGCCGTGTAGGACTCACCTGATCGTGGCCTCCCGGTTGGTGCGGCCGGGTCAGACGTACCGAGTGGTGGTGACGCTCCTGCTGCCAATGCCGGAGCCCGTCACTGTGGTCGCATCGATCCAACGCAATGGCGTCGATGTCACGCACAACAGCCGGGAATGCCGGGCTCCCATCCCGGAGGAGATCCTTCTCAAGGTGTGTGCGCACACTGCAACAGGTGAACTGTCTTCGCACGTTCGGCTTTTACTCAGGCGCGATCTTCCTCAAATGCCATCTATTGCCTACAAGGTGCGAAAACTTCCCTTTGCTATTATTCTGGTAGCAAGTATGGACACTTCAGGAGCATCTTTCCCGTCGCCTCCGTGTTTTTGATAACATCGCCCCTCGCGTCGTATGTTCCATTGCGAATGAAAGTGTGCGAGGCCGTTTTACGATCGCGGTTCAAAGCACGTGGGGAGTGCGCCGCTGTGTCCATAGCGCGTATTGGGTAGTTTGGTACCTTAGGGGAAGCTATAGCTGCCTGACTCCGGCTGGAACTGCGTACTTTGACCGGCCAGGTACGGTCGCGATATACATACATATATATATATATATATATATATATATATATATATATATATATATATATATATATATTACAGGGTTTTACTGACAGCCCATGTGTTGTGCGTATCCCAAAGTTGCAAGAAGTCTTATGCCAACGTTCTTGCAGGCTAGTTGGTTTGAATAAGGTTAAAACCGCACAAAAAAAGAAGACGGGAAACTGTGCTCGTGGTGTGTTCTTCGTTTCTACCTCCTGACTTCGTTTCTTTTTTTCAACATTTTTAGCCTTATTCCAGCCATATACAGCATAAAGGTCACTTCGTTCGCTGCAGCCTCAGCGTTTCCTTACGCCCGGTGTGGTTTGCTGAGCTACCCCAGTTTGCATGCAAGTAAAAGCGAAATGCTAGCTTTACGTCGTTTAACATTCCAATTTGTTGCTGTCGCATTCAATGATGCTCGGAGAAAATGGCGCGACTTTATTTTTTTTTTTTATTTTCAGCGTTTAATCGAAACAATGTTGCTGGTCATCTTGGTAATCATGTTCACGTGTGGCCTGCAGGAAAAATTTGCGGAGGAGGGGCGCTCTTTATGATAATCATCACCGCCCTTATGTATATTGAATATCTGGTAAAATGTGCTCAGTGATGTTATTTGTAGGGCGCTTTTCGCATTGTTTGACCAAAAAGTTTTCTTTCGCCAGGTTCCTACGACCAGTGTATCGGGCAGCTACCGACTCAAGGTCGAGGGAAACATCAATGGCGTCCTTGGTGGCACTGCCTTTTCATACGAGACTCCACTCGAATTCTCACAGCGCTCAATGACCATATTTATTCAGACAGACCGACCGCTTTACATGCAAGGCCAGACGGGTGAGTGCAATTGTCTCAATGTTTAATACCAGAGCTGTTTAAAGGGGCCCTGCAACACTGTTTGAGCATGGTTATAAAACGCTGAGGCTCCCGAGAACACGCGTGCCAAATATAGCGCCACATGCGGCTTGAAATTCACAATAATTTTTCAGTCAGCCAAAAATTGATTTATCTTCTCTCGACAAATGATGCTATATACTCAAAAATCATTGCGTCAACGATTAATTTATTACGCCATTGGCCGATTTGAGCATGGTGCGCTTGTGAGTTGCTGGGGCTGCCACGAGAGGATGCGACATGTAAGCGCGCGTGCCATCGCATTGAAAAGCCGTACGTCAACTGCAGCCACCTCAAAGAGTTTCGCTGATTCCACAGCAAAGCGCAACTTAGATAGCACGCTACCGAAACGCAGCCAACACCAGTTAGGTCTAGCCCGCCGATTTGCGTGCTGTTGCGAGAAGTTTGTCTTAAAGGATCCGGCGTACTAAAGACCGCACTGAACCAAGAACAGCGTGCGTGATAACGAAGTTCGGGTTTGCGGCCGGGAGATCAACAACGACGAAAACCCGCCAAGCTCATGTAAGGCAGCGCACAGGCAGCAAAGGCGAAAAAGGCTCGCGTCATAAAGCGCAACAGCTATCGTGCGATTTAGGTTTGACCGCCGCAATGGACCGCCGCAAAAAGGTTTTATTAAATTTACAGACGAGGTGCCTAACGCGGCTTCTGTAGCAAGCTCGATAACGATGGCATTGTTCCCAACAGGAAAATGTTAAGCGCAGTTGATAATTGAAAAATTTAATTGCTGCACAAACTTGAAGGAAAACAAGGGAGACAGGAAAGAGCGCAAACTACCAACTGTTTATTGTCGTTTCTTGAAGCCAATATATACGCATGCTACGCTGCACTTCCACGATGCACACAAAACCAAAGATGCCGCAAACAAAGCCGACCCAAAACAAATCAAATCAAAATTGACTGCCACCACAATGACAAAAGTGAAAAATGGCAAAATACAAAAGTGATACCCACCACAATCTATACTGCGTATTCCCAAGGTGTGCGCTCATCTTTTTAAAAATTTATCTTTTATTATTTATTGCACCAAGCATCAACAAAGGCGTGAAAAATTGAAATTGTACTCTAGAGACTTTTGTTTAAAAAACACTAAAAAAACACCGAATAAAACAATAAAGTAACAATTTTATATTCACTCCAAGCAGCTCCAATCGAGCAACCCGAACAAGCAGTACACCAAGAGAGTCAAAAACTATAATAACATTAAACTTTACTAAATATTACGTACCGTCACATGGGAAGTAAAACAAGAACACTCATGAACAAAACAAAAGAAGAGAAATGGAAGAGAACACAATGCAAGGCGTTAGCCACAACATTACACATGAACATGTAGGAAGACCATTTCCCTGTCCAGAAGTGAATTCCACAATGTGTTTCCACATTGTGGAATTCCACAAAGTGAATTCCATAGTGTTTCCCACAACGTAAAAAAGGTGGCTAATAGGTACGGTGTTGATGTACTGTTTTCAGCGCCTACAAAGTTAGGTCACATCTGTACGTTAATGACTAAACAGAAGAAGGCAAAATGCACAAAAAAGCATGCGAACGAGTTCATTAGGTGTGTATTTGCTGTCGTAGATCTGATCCCTTTGTCGTGTGGGAGGGTGTACATAGGGCAGACGGGGCGTTGCCTCAATGAACGCTTGCATGAGCACAGTCTGGCCGTAAAAGGAAAAAATGGTGGTCATTTAGATTTCCACTGTAGGACATGCGGTTGCACCCCCCGGTTTGAGAATGTGTCAGTCATGGCTAAGGCACGTGAAAAGACCGAAAGGGAGATTATCGAAGTGTACTTTATCAGGCAATATAATGACAAGTGCATAAGCATGCCTTCAATTCACTTTCGGACAGGGAAATCGTCTTCCTACATGTTCATGTGTAATGTTGTGGCTAACGCCTTGCATTGTGTTCTCTTCCATTTCTCTTCTTTTGTTTTGTTCATGAGTGTTCTTGTTTTACTTCCCATGCGACGCTACGTAATGTTTTGTAAAGTTTTATGTTATTATAGTTTTTGACTCTCGGTGTACTGCTTCTTTGGGTTGCTCGATTGGGGCTGCTTGGAGTGAATATAAAATTGTTACTTTATTGTTTTATTCGGTGCTAAGCGCCATTTTTAGTGTTTTTTAAACAAAAGTCTCTAGAGTACGTTTTCATTTTTTTCACTCCTTTGTTGATGCTTGGTGCAATAAATAATAAAAGATAAATTTTAAAAAAGATGAGCGCACAGCTTGGGAATACGCAGTTTAGATTTTGGTGGGTATCACTTTTGTATTTTGCCATTTTTCACTTTTGTCATTGTGGTGGCAGTCAATTTTGATTTGATTTGTTTTGGGTCGGCTTTGTTTGCGCCATCTTTGGTTTTGTGCGCATCGTGGAAGCGCAGCGTAGCATGCGCATATATTGTCTTCAAGAAACGACAATAAAGATTTGGTAGTCTGCGCTCTTTCCTGTCTCCCTTGTTTTCCTTCAAGTTTGTGCAGCAATTCAATTTTTCAAGTATGAACCAACTAGTCTGCAAAAAAGTATTGTAGTTGATAAGGATGCGATCAGACTTGCCATGTTGAGCCGCGCGCGGCCGCAGCCACGCTATCGACGCAAGTACACTTAAGCCCCGTCCGCCCTTCGTGTTCACTCCGCGTGCCCTCCTCCTCCATAACGACCTCATCGCTCGCTCCCCAGCGGCGAACCGCCATCTTTCAGACTTGCACTCGCTACCGCGTTTGTCACAGTTTGAGATTTTCCGGCAACCACACTATAAGGGGTCTTTCCATCTCAGGGGACTGCTCAATAGGCGGTATGAGAAGGGTGAACGTGAGTCGAGGAAGACCGCATTGTAACCGTTTCTAGACTATAAGTGGTTACGTTATAATTGGTCTACACTATCCAGTAAGCGAAATGGCCACACGCACATCATGAGTGTAGCTCGTAAATAGTGCCGTACATAGCATCCATGTCCTTATTTTCATGTTAACACATGTTAACATAAAAAAATCATATTGTGGTTTTAGGATGTTAAAGCCCAGATATTATTATAATTAAATGTCCGTGAGCACCCCAAAATCACATAATGTAAATCTTGCTGCACATGACATGTGACTCACGAATTACACATTAGGACCTATCATTAATATGAGTCATTTAGTCATCTCATGCTATTGCAATTTTGTTTTATATCGCATGAACGAAACGGTCACAAGAGCACCAAGACTGCAGCATGTAAATTATGCCATTTATGACACACATGTGACGATTTTTATGATATGACCCGTCATTTATGTTTGTCATACACTCATATTGTCATACCAATTTTGGTACACATCCCATTAACAAAATGGCCAGGAGAGCACAAAGTTGGAGGCGGCTAGGTAGAGAGCACAAATGACAGGTTATTTATGCTCATCATTCAGCCATGGCACACAATACCGATTCGGTCTTAATCAACCTAGTGAGAGGGCTGCCAGCCCACTATGAGCATGGTATGTAAATCATTCTACATTGCATGCATGTCATGATTTTAATGTTGCTCCTGTCATTTATGCTTGTTGTACAGTCTATTCGGGCAGTACCAAATTTGGTGTGTATTGGCCGGAAGTGCAGCATGAGCGTAGCATGCAAAGCGTAATGTACATGGCATGCTTGTCTTTATTTTCACGTTTAACACCTGTCACGTTCGTCATACAGTCACGTCGCGAAGTACCAATTTTGGTGTATGTTGAGCAAACTGGCTGCGAGACCACCGTGAATGTGGAATGTAAGCCATGTTGTAAAAGGCATGTCAACATTTTCGTGATATCACCTGCCATTTATGTTTGTCATACAGTCACTTCACGTAATACCAAATTTTGTACATGTCAAGCTTGCAAAACGGGCACGACAGCACCATCAGTGTGGCATGTAAGTCATCTTGCATGACTTGCATGTCATGTTCTTTGTGTTATCACCTGTCGTTTATCTTCATGGTGCAATCACGTTGCACAATACCAAATTTGGTATATGTCAATCTACTGGAAGGACCGCTTATGCACTATGAGCATGGCGTGTAAGTCATGTACATCACATGCATGTCATGATTTTCATCAGGTATTTATGTTCGTCATACAGTCACGTCACACTAAAGGAAATTTGGTAATGTCAAGCTAACAAAGCAGACACGAGAGCTTCATGAGTGTGGCATATAAGGCAAGCAATGCAAATAGTGCTATGTCATGTTTTGTTTTCTTTATTTCCGTGCAGAGCTTATGCTTTCTAGTGTATAATTTCTTAATGATAGTCACAACCCTGTCGGACAGTAGTGCTTGGGTGGTAGGGCCGTTGTCAGGCAGTTAATTCTGCCTTTAGCCGTACCGTCCCTTGACATTTGTTATGTTGAAAATAAACAATTCCATTGAATTTAATTCAATACATGACATACATAGCATGCTTGTCATGATTTTTTATGTTGGCACCTGTCATTTTTAGTTCATCAAACAAAATTGTTTCATCTTACCAATTTTCTTATATGTTATTTTAATTAAATTTCCAAAAGTCGTGGGATCAAATCTTTGCTAGTGTGGCTGCATTTTCGATGGAGGCGGGAATATTCCAGGACCGTGTACTTAGGTTTAGGTGCAGGTTAATGAACACCAGGCGGTCGAAATTACCAAAGCCCTCCACTACGACATCTTTCATATTCATATAGTGGTCTTGGGACATCAAACCCCAGATATTATTATTATAATTAGATGTCCGTGGGCACCCCAAAACCAAATAATGTAAATCATTCTGTACTCATGAATTGCACTTTAGGACCTGTTAATTATGTGAGTCATACAATCATCTCATCCCATAGCGATTTTGTCGTCGAACCCCTTGATAGGAGACACTGATGTAGGAGACAAATGGGTCTAAGAGAGACTAGGGTGCCTACAGTAAAATACGAGTTGATAGGAAAATGTATACAAGGTACCCTGCTTATTAGAGACATCTCATATAAAAGACAAGAACTGCTGCCTGGAGCATGCCTCTTGTAAAGGGGTTTCTTCCATATCGCATGAAAAGGTCACAAGAGCAAAAAGACTGCAGCATGTAAATCATGCCATCATGACACACATGTCATGATTTTCATGATATGACCCATCATTTATGTTTGTCATGCAGTCATATTCAGACTAGTTTTGGTACACATCCCATTAACAAAAGGGCCAGGAAAGCAGGAAGTCTGAGGTGGCTAGATAGGTACATACTTACATACATACGCATGCTCAAAGTTGTCAAAGTTTCCCAAGAAATCCTTCGCATTTAAAACCTGGAAAAAACGAGGTTGAACACTAGCTCTGTTCCAGCGGTGTACCACTAGTGCAAGCTACATACATTTTTTTATTTTCTGTTTCTAAATAAATATTTGTCGCTGTTTTGATCAGTTCAAATGCAATTGATCCTATGCGAATCATGTGCGATGTGTTTTTGGATCAAGAGAAAATAGGGAAGTCATCATACCATGTCCTCACTAAGGATGGCATTCCCAGAAAGGTGTGGAATAAATAAAGGGGTCATAAAACCAAAATTTTTTAAATAATCTATACTAATATGCAGGTTAATTTTGTGCCTTCAAATGATGCTGACAAAATTTTACCACACTTGGTCAAGCACTTCATTCATAATTGCATATTTTTACAATTACACTAGCAGCCAGAGAGTCAAGAAATACTGGCACAGGTAATACTGGCACACTCGCGAGCTGTGACGTAACGAGCTACTTGCTGTCCGAGTATGTGCATTCCTACAAACGATTTTGTTGTTGTGTCCTGAACTGCTAATGCAATTAAGCTATTTCACGTTTCTTCAGCTTGGTATTGAATTTGAGCAATTTGCGACAGCTAAATCTTTAATTGAAAACAACGTCTCTGCTCCATACAGCGCATGACGTCATACAGGCCATGGCAAAATGGCGATCGCCGACGGTGTGAGGCGTTTAAAGACGGCAACTTCCCGGACATAGTTTGCACTCAAATTCCTTCACTGGTCATTTTTCGTATATGCATAGGTGCAGTAGACCCTTCACTTCTATTTTTTGTTGGAAACCAGAAGTTCTTGGGTGAGAGCGTCATATTCTTTAACTGGTAATTTTTCATATATGTATAGGCAAAGTAGACCCTTCTATTTTTTTTTGCTGAAAATTGCAAATTGATGGGTGACTGTGTCATGGCCCCTTTAAATGTGCTGTAGTGGAGGGCTTTTGCAAGGCACGCATGTTTAAAGAAGGTAAAAGGAGGTGATGTGGGTAGTGTATACTGTAGCAGAAGGGAGAAGAGATTGTGCGTAGAAAGGGACCCGAGGTTAGAGCTATGTGTTATTGGTTTGGGGCCTGCATAGCAAAAGCACTCTAAACTGGGGAAGTGGGCATGCGCAGTGGCGGATAAAAAGTCTGCTTTCGATGCATGGCAAAGTGGGTTTTATTCTCAGTGGCCCAAACTGGTTTTCCCGTTCTTCTTTTTTAATGGCTCAGTGTTGTGGGCAGTCATCTTGAGAACATAGCTTTTACCTAATATTTTCTGATATTCTGTTATATTCACAGTAATAAATTGCTGTATCTTAAACAGTTTCCTTATGTAAAACTTCGATGGCCTAATGATGGTGAAGTAAATATACAAAAATTTCATGTTTGAAATCTGTATTAAACTTTATTTTAAGGGGAGATGCTACTCCAAGCCACTTTTTTTTAATATTCACCCTAGAACAATGAAACTTGAGCTGTTTATGGAACTTTTTATGCTGATTTCAAGTATATAATTAGTTTTCTTGCAAGCTGCTTACTTTTAGCTCTGCGAAATGACAAAGTTAGAACCTTAACCCTTTCGCTCCCCCTCTTTTCATCCCTGAACTTCCGTAATTTTTTACTATTCATAGTTCATAATGTTTGAAATAAAGTGTAGAATTTAAATAACTAATTAGGAAGCACATACAAAATATGTAATAGGCATGAAAAAATAATAGACATAAAAAGTCCATGTTTCACCCACTTTAGTAAAGGTTTACATAGAATTTTTTTATTATACAATAAAATATTGAAATTTAAACTATATAATTATATTTGCCATACATTAGAAAAAATTTGGGCAAAATTTATGCAGATTTGAGCCCTAGAAGTGCCCAAAAAAGGAGGGGCACATTGAAAAAAATGGCAAAATTTGTGTTTTAAGAAAAATGAGTTTTCAAGTTAAAATTGAGTGTTTTTATTTATGAAAGATATCATTGTATCTGATGAAATTTGCACACCAAAAAGAAGAATCCTCTTTTTCCATCCTCTGCGACTAAAATATGCCAGCCTCACGAGTTCGTCCCTCTCGGCTTTTTCGAGCAGACTCCTCATAGACATTTCGCTTACAGACAGGGCCATGAAACGCTTGACAAACTTCAGCTCTATCTGGCAGAGCTTTGTGCCAACTGCAAGCTAGGAAGAAGTTCGACAGGGCTGCGAAATCCTAAGTCCAGTGTTATGCCATTTTGCGGCCATGTTTGTGCCACATACCGCCGTACATAATGGCAATGTCGTCCCTGCTAAGTTCTCGCACTGCGAGCTCTTTCAACCTCGAAAGATTGGTGCTGGCGTCATCCATTGCCGCATCACGAGCTTTCCGGTTGACGGGTGTGAATGACTTTTGATGCATTGGTTTTGATTTTGATGTATTGACTGCAAGTTTGGCATTGATCGCAAAACGGTTTGATTTTGATGCATTGGTCGCAAGTGAAAGCCGTTGTGCAGCTTTCACTTGCGAGCAACGCTTTCTTTTCTTCATAATGAATATAATTACACAAGAAAAGCATTGTTCAGCTGTGCTGCTCGACAAGACATGGACCTTGCAAATAGGCTTCACAGCACATACAGGTGCGCAGTGGCCAAAGGCGGTCCCCGATCCGTACCACGTGATAAGCCACACACGGCGCTCGAAAAACGCGCAAAAGCGTGCTTCTTTTTATTATTCCTTGCCCGGCATCAGCGAGGGAAACTGTTGTTTGAAGAGTGCGGCTCGACTCTTTGGCTAATGCGATCAACAATGGCGAGCGGCGGCGCATTATCGGCAGCAAGGTGCTCGAAGACTGCATACTTTGGACGTTTTAACAGGCACCTTGTGCTCTTTAGATGCAATTTTAAAGCATTTCCAGTTAAGTCTCGACCTGTATTTTTTTTTTCATAACAGTAGAGGTACTAATCTTATCAAAACAGGCAAAAATTAAAAATCTATAATTTTGAAAAAAAAAAACTTGCATTTTCAGACCCTCATCTCCCCTTAAGAATACAGTGGAAGCTCACCAATACCTGCCCTAGTTTTGTGACAACCCGCATTTTATGCAAATCGGTTCTGTCTCGCAACACGCCCATGAAATAATGTATTAAAAACCTTTGTTATTGGACACAGTTTTATGCAACCCCACATTGTAGGATGGCTGTCTGATACCATCTGGGAAAAAAATATTACCTTTTTTACATCTGCGATCAAATGTCCGCAGATGCGAAATAGAAGTTTAGGCACTGCTAGGTTGAGGATTGCAAAAAAAAAAAAAAAAGAGTAGAGTGAGGCAGGTATAGCATGCCTTGTTAGAATGGAAAATTTGATCTCATGCCAGTTGACATGCTTCTGTGATCCCGTTTCACTGGCTTTAAATTGTTTCTAGATACACCTCAATCACAGAGATATTTCACAATGTCATTACCTAGACAAGCTTTATCTACTCGGAGTACCTCCAGCTAGATGTTACGCTCATCTTTGAGATCTACATATATTTTAACGTTTCCAACCTGTGGAATCATTTCCTAATCGTCATGCAGCTGAAGATTTTTTAAAATTTGTTTATAGCACTCGTAGTCGCAAAAAAAAATAAAGGGCACGATGCAGCTGTCTTCAGCATGCAATATAACTTTTCTTTGATGGGAGTGTTCATAATCACAGCGGCACACCCATTCGTTACGTCAGCTACACCTGTTCATTACGTCACATTTTAGCATAAAAAAGCGACATGCAGCTCTTGCCTACTTAGTGTGCGAAGAAGGAATCCGTATGGGTTCTGAAACGTCTCGACTACTATAAAGAAGCATATCTATCGGCACTTTCTTTTTTTTTTTCATCAGAACCTGTCACTCCATTCATCACTCTATCAGAACCTGTCAGAATAAACACATCAGGCCTTATCAGGCCAAATGCGACACGTTTAAATATTCTTTTTTTCAATGGGCTATTGGAACTTGGAATGCTTTACCAAGTGACATTGTTGAATGCCAATCAGTGAATGAATTTATTGCAAAACTGGAATTCTTCCTTGATTGTACATATGCATGTCCTTCATGAGGTAAATGTTTGCAGAAGCTTATCAAATGTATGGTGTTTTTTGATGTGTGATCCCATTTCTGCATTTTTTTTTGCGTTGTTCTTGATATACGTATTATGGAAGCATTATCTACTGAGGCATTCTGTGTTCTGCTTTCGTTTTTGGTTGTAATATGTCCATGCTCATGTATACTTTTTCTAACCACTTCCTGTATGGGCCTGTACAAAAACCTACAGTCTTGTTAAATAAATAAATAAATAAATAAATAAATAAATAAATAAATAAATAAATATATTGGGGTGTGAGGTAGTTAATGCATTCAGTATAGTCATTTGAACTGAATCTACGCTGTGTGTGGATTTGTCATCACTCACTGTCTTGTGTGTCTCCTTCTTTCCTGCAGTCCATTTTCGTGCACTGCCAGTCACAACAGAGCTCAAGGCATTCTCAGATGCCGTTGATGTTTACATGCTGAACCCAAACCGGACAATTGTTCGGCGTTGGCTTTCCAGGCGAACAAATCTAGGTGAGCATTGACTTGTATTCACTAAGCAGTTGGTATACGATACAGCGGTCCTTCAATATGGGCCCTGTTTTATCATTGCGGGAGACATATTGTCACAGTAATGACAGATGATTCTCACGAACATGAGCACAATTTTCTGGTAATGACCAATACTGACTTTATTTCAGGTGCTGTGAGCTTAGAGTACCCTTTGTCTCCTCAACCTGACTATGGAAAATGGACAATCCAGGTCATTGCTCAGGTGTGTCTTACTATCACATGACAACTGTGTGTGGAATTGCATGTTTTATATTGGTTCACAACTTTTGGTATATCTTTCGTTTTCTTCTTTTGTTTAGGGCCAAGTTGAAGAGAAGACATTTGTTGTAGAAGAGTACTGTGAGTTGTCTAATTTGATTATGAAATGTTTAAAAACGATGCATCTCGTTTGAGCTACGCAGTTTGGAGGTTCTTTATTCACGATCCGTATTCCCTTCTAGATCAAACAAGATTTGAAGTCAATGTCACACTGCCCACATTCTTCATGGCCACGCAAGAGTACATTTACGGCACTGTCGTCGCCAAGTGAGTGCCACTGTAATGAGCCACACTGATTTGTTCACTGATTTGGGAGGATTGGGTGAACAACTTGTATGATTATTTTTGCCTCGTTTTCACAGTTTCACAAGTGGGGCTGCAGTCCCTGGAAACCTGACACTACGCGCAACTGTTGAGCCAATAAATCCAACTTACCAGATTCACCGCAGTTCATCTAGGTACATTGAAAAGGTTTACCGTTATGTAAGTAAACTTCTGTGTTCATTGCCTTTCTTTCATATTCTTGTCAATACTGCATTGCGCTTGTTACACACTGTAATATTTGAAGTTTCAATAGCTGCTTCATCACTGTCTTTCCTAATTGATTTGAAAAGACATATATGAACACTCACCAATTACATGGCACTTATAGGCACATGTGCTGGGATACTGGCTGCTGTGAGTTATTTGTGATGTGTAGCTCCAGTTAAAAAAAAAAAAAACAATTGGAACCAGTTGGAAAAAACCGCTTAGTTTCAATTGGTTACATTTGTGAATTAGTACAAAGTTGGGCCATTTGAACTAATTGGGCCAATTAGTTGTATGCCAATGGGTTCAAATGGTGCAGTAGCATGTAACCAATGGGGCCGATACGATGTATTTCTATTGGACCAATTGGTTGAATTCCAATTGGGTCAAATGGTGGGGTCAGCACATAACCAATTGGACCAATTGGCTGTATGCCGATTGGTTTAAATGGTGCAGTTAGCCCATTCAACTGTAAAAGTGTTCAAGCTAGACATTTTAGTGGTGAACCATTCCCCGGTTGAATTCCAAGATTATTCATAAATTGGCCAGAACTTGCACTGATCTCAGCAGGTACATCGCATGTCACGTAGTTGGTTCTTTAATAGGCTCAGGACCTGCTGATCCAGTAAACTGCACACGGTCACATAGTCAAGGTGGAGAAACTCAAAATTTATTTGAACTCTTACAGTAGGTGTTGTTATAGTTGGCAAGTTTCCAGAGATGAGCTGTGTGCTTTCGCGCATCATTGTACACCACCTAAAATAAATTAAGGCAATAATGACTCATCAATTGCACACAATTACAGCAAACATATAGCTTTACCTAATAACATAAGTGGCGTGAACCCATTCAAATTTAGCAGTAAAATGCTAAAATGACCCTTCGGCCTGTCTGAATTAGCCATAGGTCGGCAAACTCACTCACGAGTTGACTCACTCGGACTCACTCAGACTCGAATCAAGCTGTCAGTTTGAGTGAGTCCGGGTGAGTAATGTTTTCCTGAGTCTGAGTTCGTCTGAGTTCGAGTGGGTCCGGTTGAAGAAAACTTTCGTGAGTGTCAGTCCGAGTGAGTACGACCCAGGAAAATTTTGGTGAGTCGAGACCGAGTGAGTCCAAAGCGCAAAATATATTTCTTGAATGAGTCTGAGTGAGTTGCACTTTTTTTTTGCCAATCTAAGGTCCTATCTAGTCATCTTCAGCATTACTGTCAGGCTTACCCAGATTCACGTTTATACTGATGTCTCCTCACAGGTATTCCAAAGTAGTACGTTCATATACCGTTTCAATACGGAATAATTTTAGACGTAAATTATGTAGGGCGGCACCGTGACCTCCACCCATGAACTCTTCTAGGGAATTTCTTGATGATTATATCTTATGCTGTCATCTCTTCCAAGAAAAATGACCTTCCTGGCTTGGAAGCACACAGAACTCGTTTGCGAATATACTATGTCAAACGGAACCTAGAATAACACACTTTGTGAGATACTGGTTAAAGAGTATCGACATCATGGTCCAAAAACATAATTTAGGCTGCCGTATTCATGAGTCGACTCACTCAAACTCACTCAAATTCAGATCGAACCGTGAGTCTGGGTGAGTAATGTTTTAGGGAGTTTGAGTCCGAGTGAGTCCGTCTGAAGAAAATGTTTGTGAGTGTGAGTCCGAATGAGTCTGGCTCAGGAAATATTTCGTGAGTCTGAGTATGAGTGAGCTCCACAAATTTTGTCGACCAATGGGAAGCCCAGTCTGATTGGCACTTGGACAGATAATGCCGTAAGAAAACTATGTAATGATTAATAATTTCGCCGCGGTGGCCCATATTTACGGTGCTTCACAAGCTGGTCCAAAAAAAAAAAAAAAAAAAGCGGGTTGAATCTTGTGTGTAGCGGTTCCATTTCCATGTAGGCGAAATGCAACCCTGAAGGCAACAGATTATTTTTTATTTAGTACTAGACTAACTAGATGTCAAATGAATTTATTTATATAATCACTAGCACCTGCTACAAAGACACATGTGCACCATAAGGCACAAGCACGACTCAAAAAATGAAAGGATGCTTTACATTAACCAGCATGTAGTGCACTTCATGCCTTTCATCGCATACTGCAGCAAGGTATACAATGACACAGTGCTTATAATAAAGAAAACCTATACTAGGGGCAAGCGTTCGCATATACTGGAAATGTGTAAATGCAATACTTACATTAAAGGATTGGAGCTAGGAGGTGACCCTTGATCAACGCTGACAAAGTGATCACCTTTGACGAAGTGATCACAACCAACACAACACCAAAAAACCGCTCCAACTTGCTCGTCTTGACTTGTGACGCTTGCCACAGATAAAAGCGACCAAAAATCAATGTAACATCTTAATGTCACTAAGGTTCTTCTCGCAAACACGCTGCACGATAGAACATGAGAAAGAGCACCATAAACCAGCAACGCTACGCGCGAACCTGCCAAAGCTATGGCGTCATAATAATGCTTGACCGCAGTCTGTAATGTTCTTTCCTGTGAATAAAAGAAAGCAGCATACTTTTTAATCTAATATTTACATTAAAAAATATGTTATTATTTTGCATTTGTACTGGTAAACCATAAAAAAAAAATTAATTACATGACTAATGCTGCTGATACTCCGCTATTGCTGTTGTCTACAAAAATGCTGGCACTATACCATGTTTGGTGCGACAACACAAAGCATGCACTTCGATCGTGGCAGATAACGAGTGCTGATTAAGAAAAATAACCCCCTTTATGCAAAGAAGTAATTGACCGCTATGCTTTAAACATTAGGTACTTGCACAACGGCTTAGTATGACCTAATGACTAGTAAATTTTGTGTAATTCATGCACAGATATGCGGGAAACATAGAATAAACGTTCACGTTCTCCAAGCGATACTTTTGCAATCCATTTATACAAGGCAGGGCACCTTATGTGATGGCTGTAGAATGTATATCCTTCCTCACTTCATCCTACTGGTGCTTCATTCATCCTACTGGTGCTTTGCATGACAATTGTGTGTGTATATATATACCGTATTTACTCGCATAATCGGCGCACTCGCTTAATAGGCGCACCCCTAGTTTGGTCGTGGAAAATTCGATTGTTTTTAATTCCGCGTGTAATAGGCGCACCCCGAACTTGGCCGTGATCAGAAACGATTCTACCCCCCAGCGGTACAGTTGGAACGCGGTCCCCGTACCCTGAAGAAAAAAAGAAGGCAAATCGACGAGCAAATAAAAAAAATTCGAAGTGCAACGACCTAAGCAACGTGTTTGTCGAAATAAAACTTGAAAAAAAAAAAGCGTCCATGAGCGAAAAAAAAAACGGCTGTTCCATCAATTACTGATACCCCCCCAAATCGCCGCGCTTTTTGGAGGTCACATGTACAACGCCGGGGGCTCGATCACCATCACCACCATCAGAGAAAAAGAAAGAAACGCCATTTTGCAAGCGGTGTGCGTATGATACTGCAGCCTTTGGACGTGTCCTTGAATAAACCTTTCAAGGACAATGTTCGAAGGCTGTACACCACCTGGATGGCTGGAGGACAACATCAGCTGACTACAGGTGGTAAGATTGAGAGGCCGCCTGTGGAAATGCTGTGCGCTTGTATCGTGGAAGCGGGGCAGGCGATCTCCGACGAAGTCGTCAGGAAAAGCTTCAAGAAGACGGGTATCTCGAACGCACTGGATGCGAGTGAGGATGACATGTTGTGGGGTGCGGATGATTCGGAGACCGAAAACGAATCCCTGCTCGGCGAGGATGAATGTGTGATCTCCGACTCGGACTCCGAATAGGGAAAAGGAGGAACAGCTACGACTTTTGTGTAAATAAATTTTACGTGTGTGTGTGCAGTTGACGGCTCTCGCTTGTTCATTAAAAGGTACGTAGGTATGTTGTTTTATGCTGAATTAATTGGTAAACGATAAAGTCGCCTTTTACTTGACAAGTGTGCAGATTTAAAGCGCGAGAACCGAGTTGAAAAAATTCTCGAAAATTTTACCCCGCGTAATTGGCGCACCCCTAACTTCGAGCCGGATTTTCTGAAAAAAAAAGTGCGCCTATTATGCGAGTAAATACGGTATATATATACACGCACGCACGCACGCACGCACGCACACACACACACACACACACACACACACACACACACACACACACACACACACACACACACACACACACACACACACACACACACACACACACACACACTGGGAGTAATAATTCGATTTCAATGGGCCAGTTAGTCTTCGTGAAGGTATGGGATATGGCACAATGTGAGCGTTGTCAACAAGGATAAATATATTTATTTCCCAACAGTTTCGGGAGGGGTCCTCCCTTCATCAGGGGATCAGTTGTACTAACATGTATGTTCAAACTTCGTTGCTGCTGCGTCCCTCTCGCCTTAAAAGATGTTTGCGAGAGTGAGAGAGAACTAAAAAAAAAAAGAAAGAAAGAAAAAGGATATAGAAAAAGAAGAAAAACCACTGTGAACGCTGAGCACGAAACCAGACTGTGCACATCTAAATGTCGGTGTAAGTCCACATCCGGTTCTCATCCCGTGCTGGCCAGGTCCTGGCATGTGTCAGGCCACACATGTCGTGTGTGGCCCGCCACACATCGAGAACTGGGCAGCACGTGTGTGGCCCGACACACGTTGAGAACTGGCCAGCACGGGATGAGAACCAGATGTGGATTTACACCGACATTTGGATGTGCACAGTCTGAATTCGTGCTCAGCGTTCACAGTGTTTTTAATCTTTTTTTTTCTTTCTTTTTTTCATTTTTTTTTTAGTTCTCTCTCTCTCGCAAACATCTTTCAAGCGAGAGGGACGCGACAGCAACGAAGTTTGAACGCCCATGTTCGTGTAACTCATCCCCTGACAAAGGGAGGACTCCTCCCGAAACTGTTGGGAAAAAAATATATTTATCCTTGTTGACAACGCTCCCGTTGTGCCATATCCCATACATATATATACACACACACGCCTATAAAAGTTGCAAGTAAACGAAAGCGAAGCACTTCATCACTTGAATTCGCTGATTGATTTGTGCTCGTAAACTTCCAATGCAATTGTCTGGCCTAACTGAAAACGAATGTTTTATTTGGCTGTTCCGCTTGAACCAAATGGCCCAGTTGGGTATTGGATTTTCCTAATGGAAGTAAGCTTCCGATTGGTTCAAGTGATACCATTTGGTAATTTAACTTGGTCCAAATGGTCCAGTTAGTGACCCCATTTGGCCCAATTGGGAGTGCATTATCTTGTACCCATTTGGGAATTTCGAATGGCTCTGTTGGGAATACCATTGGCCCAACCGAAAATCACTATTACTATTTAGACCCATTGATATTTCCAAATGGTTCCAATTTTTTTCTTCAACTGGGGCTAGTTGCTGAAAGTTCTGTAGGATTTCCTAAATCATACATTTGATATAATTGGCGCTATACATTTGGTATAATTGATGTTTAGTGAAGGTCTTTGTGAAATGTTTCAGTTAAACATCATACAGAAGGACACATGATGCAACCTTAATTGTCCCCCCCCCCCCCCATAGACTAGATCGCTGCTTTTCAGAATTTACTGTATTCCCATTGTGATCATATTGCAAAGAAATAGCAGTTTCACATTCATTGATTGTAGGTGCATTTCTTTCACTCGACAGCATATAGTTTGAGTGCATCACTTTCACTTCCAATGTAACTGCATGCTCAGTGGTACAACATGCAGCTACAAAGTAAATAAATGTGCAATCGCGCTGAGCCAGTATTTGGTAGCAATGCCTTTTCTGGCTTTTCGCACATGGCCAGTGGTCAGAACGATTATCTACATTGGCTGATCAGCAGCTGTCTGTGAGTGAGGATTGATGAAAGACCTGTATAAAATTAAGGATAAGATACTGCTACAAAAGGCCTAGTTCAAAAGGCCTAGTTTTACAAAAGGCCTAGTTCGGCTTCAAAAGGCCTAACAGGGCTAGTTCTACGAAGTATCAGCCTTGTTTTGTTGGGAACGGTACCTGGATTGCTGGAACTCTGTATTTATGTTTTGTTGACACAAAACAACAGCATGCACTGTGGGAAGTAAAAAGAATGGTAGGAAGTGGAAGATCGAAGCTTGCAATAAAAAATACGTAAACAGAGGTTGTCCTGAGCCCACGTTTCGATACTACCCCTGTTTACGGATTTTTCATAACAATCATTGTGGTAATCGCAAGAGAATTACCCGCATTGAACTTGTACACACAAGATGCCTGGATGGTTCTCGTGCCAGGAAGTTAACGTAAACACGCTGTTGGATGAGGTATACCTTTCCCAACTTCTTCAGGGATATCTTGCTGGATCAGTGCATTTATGCTACTCTGCAATCTCTCTCTTATGCCTCAGATTTGACTACATGGCAGGTATGAAATGGATTTTGTTTTCCTTCTTTTTCTCTGATATCCATGATGTGCAGTTTGAAGGAGTCCAGGACTTTGCGTTTTCTCTGCGCGAGCTGAGCCGCTTGGTCTCGCGCCTTGATGGAATGAAGGTGGTGGTGACCGCCCTGGTCGGGGAACGATTCCTGGACCTCATTGAAACGGGCTTCTCAGAGTCCCTAGTGTTCAACTCGAGCCTGCAGCTGCGTTTCTTGGGCTCGTCTCCACAAGTGTTTCGCCCTGGCATGCCCTTCAAGGCCTATGTGAGTAATTTCGGTAATTCTCATTGACTCATGTCAGCCCAGTCGTTTACTAGTCTGCAGCGTACTAGATTCCGAGAAACTTTTTCTGTATACCATTACATGTCTCTTGTTATCACAGTGTATCCAGCAACGTTGAGTGTAAACCAGAAGTCTGCTTCAGTGCTCGATATATTTGCAGCACTACCCAGCGAGACATTTTGCATTGAGAAACTGGAGAACTTGTCTATTAACATTCAGAAGGCATAAGGTGCAGTTGAATAACTACTCTAGTAATATCTCTAAAATTGTGAAATTGGTTAGGTCAGCAGAAATTGACAATGTGCTGGGAAAGCTGCGAAGACATTTTTCTTTTTTTTCAAGTAAATACTAAATAATTTTGAAGTTGTCTGTTTAAGAAAATATGTAGACATATTTATATATAAAAGTGCTCTGCAACACCTTTTGAAATAATCAATGAACCCCTGTGCCTAGCAGCTATGCACCTGCGGCAGAGGGCATGACTTTCAGTGGCAATTTTTTGTGCAACAAAATCATGTGTTGGCATACAGCAAATGTTGACCGACTTTCACACGCATAATCCTACGCTCTAATTTGGCTTACTGTTTTCCTATAGTGTCCCCATAAAAAGATATTTTGGTGTGCTGATCAGTCACACACGCTCACTGGTGTGCAGATAAGCGTGTCGTACAGTGACGGCTCGTCCCTGCCAGCTGAGTATTTCCGCAACAAGCGTGTAGAAGAGATGCTGCGCATTACGCCCTCAGTTACATACGTGAGCGGCGGAGCAGGTGCCGGCCACCTCCCAGAACCAGTGGCCTCAGCCGTGCCGGGCTCACCTGGTATCTGGGAGATAATGCTTGAGTCAACACCTGTTCTCAGTGATCCCACAGTTATCAACGCAGTGCGAGCTATTCGCATCGAGGTGAGAGACCACTCATTCATGTCATTGTGCTGCTCTTTCCCATCAAACGTCACATATGACTGTTTTCCATTTTCACAAACTGCAAATGTTTCCTCAATTGTATGCTCAGCCGTGTTATGATAGTTAAGGTATTGTGAATACTTGATATGATTGTGAATTGAAAAAGTCACAATGATGCTGTAGACATTTACCTCTAGAGCTGTGGAGGAAGGAACTTAGTTCTCTTTCCTCCATGCAAAGTGTGCTGTCTAAGCCGCCTGCCGGCAGGCTGCAGGTATTGTGTTTGTTGTCAATCCAGTGTGCTCAACTTCCCACGATATGAATAGACGAAGGGCTAAAAACCCGTATAGTCATCCCGTTGTTTTTCTCGTCAGATAAGGGTTGCTTCTTGTAGTTGGAACAGGTCCCTTTGGCTCGAGATGAATTTAAATTAGTGAAGAGGGTCTCATTGAACGATTTTGCCCATGGCCTTCCAGAATTCAGAATCCCCAGCAGCAGACAAATGACACTGAAATGCCAAAGGCGCATGCACACTACAGTAGAATGTCGATGAGATGATTACGGTTGATGCGAATTTCAGGATGATACGAATTCTCAGGTTGTTTCGGATGGACAACATTATGTAAACTGTGCCGTGGTTTAGTGTTATGTATGAACATTTTCCCCAGCCGCCGGGGATGATACAGACGTGCGATTGACTGCTGCATGCAAGCGGCGCAATGTGGCTTGTCTTCAGGCCCGTTCACACTTGGCCTCGAAGACAGTGAGTGTGGCAAAACTGACCGAACTTTTCCTCGCATCGCCGCCTAAGTGACCTGAAAACGACACCGCGAGGCCGACGCGAAAAAACCGGTCTGAGACTAACTTTCCCGCCATGCGATAGCAGATCACCTTTTTGCTTCACGGCTTTAGCTACTGGCTGCGTTAGCTCTCCAAACACCTGATGTCAATGGCCAGCTGCAAATTCTACATGGTGGCAAAGGCACCGGCAATGGATCGCATCGGCACAGTTGCGAATTACCCATGCAACACTACAAAGTTCACGGCCTTGACAAAGACGTGTTCGTTGAGAGACTGGTTTGGATTATGATCGCTGAGAACACTAGAAGTAGACGGTGCAGCAGCAGCGAGTCGGCATGCCCTAAGGTGTCTCACTTTTGCACTGCTGGCTGAATCAATCATCGCTGCTGGCAGTGTGTTCACTAGTATCGTTCAGCTGTCATATCTTCTGAAGCAACGTTTGTAAAGGTGTAGACTGTTTCATTTCAGTGCTTTGCATGCAGAACTAAAACTCAGTACGAATTTTAATGCTCAGGAAATGGAAAAATGGAATGAATTCTCAAGTGGCAATGGTGTCTGTGGCATGTACGAGGGGCAGAACGGTTGTGAATGTTTTCGGCGAGTTCAGACGTGGTTTTCCAGCTGCTCTGGCGTTCTTGCTTGAATTCTCTGGTGTGAATTCTCCAGGACTGATTTTTTTCTTGTCGACATCACCGCATGATTTTCCGGGCGCTGAAGCGGTGAAGCAAGTGAATTTCTAATTAGTTTTGCCGCTTTTGCTCCCTTTGGTGTCAAGTGTGAACACGCCTATAAGCGCCAGCTGCAAGGGTGAAGAAACCGTAGCACTTTTATTGAGAGACAATGAAGGCAGGAAATTTCAAAAAACATCATGGACTTTGTTTCAGTGAGAAGTAGTTGACCCCGATAAAGTTTTTCTCTTTCTTCATGATTAGCTTTTACTTGTTTTTGGTTCACACGAATTTGGGATGATACGAATATTTTGTTTGCTCGCTTTGAATTCGTATCATCGAGATTATACTGTATTGTTGCTACCGGTCATAGTCAATAAATGTCACATTCAGTGTGTTAGGCTGCAGTGGCAATGTCGAGTGATGCAGTTCATGCGCTGTAGTATATGAGCCTGGGGAAACCAGTTAGCATGAATACAGGCAGACACATTCAGGAGAAACACTGAAAAACAAAACTCTTCTACCTATTTGAAAAATTACCATGAATGAGGTACAATACAGTGGAACTTCGATTATACGTCCCTCGGTTTCGTGACGACCCACGTTTTACGATGAATCGGTTTGGTTCCAGTGAACTCTACATAGAAATAATGTATTTAAAAGCCTTGGTTATAGTACGACACAGTTTTACGCCGACCCCGCATGTTACGACGACTTTCAGATTCCGTTCGAAAGAAAAAACACATTTACTCGAATCAAGCATTGACCAAATATTCACGAGTGCAAAATATGAACTTTCGTTCCTGTATAGCTTTATGATTACAAAAGTAGAGTAAAACAGAGTGTCTTAGAATGGAAAATTTATTCTCCTGGAATAGAAGTTCATGCACTTCTACATGCACCTCAATTGTGTGCATACGTATTTGGGGTCGTTACCTAGTGAAGCTCTATCTACATACACAGAGTAGCTTCAGCCAGCTGAAAAGCTTATATTTCACATTTCCAGTCCTTGTAAACTGTTGCTGGTCAACATGGAGCTTATCTCCATCTTTGTTGCGCTTGCAGTCACAGGCTTGCACGTGCACAAGGGTACGACACAGCTGTTTTTACTGTGCAAAATTGCTTTCACTGGACATCAACGTTCATAAAAAAATCACAGTTTTTTTACGAAGACGAAACAATGAATGCGATAGCAACTCATCGAGCTGTTATGCAAAGTAAGGCGGGAGATTTAGGAACCATACGAAATGTGAACAAGGTTGATTGTGCTTGAATTGGCATTTATGCAGTAACCACAATGTCTAAACAGGTGTTGTGAATAGTTGGCTGTCTGACATTTGACAGGAGGCGAAGTCCAAGTTCTGCATTGAGAAACACGACAAGCCACTGGTTTTCACGTCAAAGTACGTTAACGTTGAAGCCTCCGGTGACTATCACCGGCACATCCTGTAGGCACACCGCACCGAAATGTTGTTGATACGTATGTGGACACTCATGCCACGTACATGACCTCTGCTCAACAACTCCTAGCTTTCAGGGGCGATGCCAGTGGGGGGGCTGGAGCCCCCTCCCCCAAAATTCTCGCCTGCCCCCCCTACCTCCCCCCAAGAAAGCAAGCATAGTCAAAGCACAACGCATAAGTTCTGTGCCTTCCTGCCCCCCCCTGAAGGAACAGAATTTTCGTTGGTGCCCCCCCTCAGAAAAAAAATTCTGGTGCTGCCCTTGCTAGCTTTGTCACTAGCGCATCTATTGGTGCAGTCAGCCACAATCTAGTTAACAGATACAACCATGGAGCTGCAAATGGCTTCATTCACAGAAAAGTAATCAGCATTTTTATTCTTCTGGCACCAATAATTGTAGGCATGAAAGCAGCTGAAAGAACTAAGCGCATGCCACATGACAGTCTGACCATGAAGTGCACGTACTCCTCGGATGAATAACGATGATAATGAGTTTGCATGAACACGACAACAGAAACAAATGCTAATCGCAATGTGCTTTTGCAAGTGATAAAAACAACTCTGAAACCAATTACATCATAGGCACCATTTTTGCAATGTGAATCTCAAAGGTTGGTGGCAACCGAAAGTACAATATGGGTGTTAATAATAATATGTGAGGTTTAACGCCCCAAAACTACCATATGAATATGAAAGACACTGTAGTAGAGGGCTCCGGAAATTTAGACCACCTGGGGTTCTTTAACGTGCACCAAAATCTGAGCACATGGGCCTAGAGCATTTTCGCCTCTATCGAAAATGCAACCCCCGCAGCCACATGATGTGTGTTGCTTTCACCACTCATATGCTTAATTTTACAGTCAAATCAAGCCAAGCTGTGTGTCAAGTCAACTTGGCTGCTTTCTTCCATGATCGTTTGGCCGGCTCAGAAAACACTTGATGACGTATCATACGGGAACTGTCCTGAAGCTGTGACGTAATAGCAGTGTTCCCCAATGCATTAGATCTTGTGGAAGCTATGCCGAGACCGGTATAAAATGTCGTAACAGCTGGGAAAACACAGCAGAGAAGAACGCTATGGTGGCACGCTATAGTGGCACTCTACTTGTTGAGTCTGTACTGAAGTTTCTGTGTGTGCGTTCCTTCTATAGCTACTGCCATAAGAAGCATAATTTACCTGCTTCCATTTTCGCAGGCCGAGTTTTATGATTCAAGCTATGGTCATGTTCGGACAAGCCTTGTGGCCTACTCATCCTACTCACCCACAAACCATCACTTGCAAATCACCACTAGCACCAAGTTTCCAAAGGTACGTGTAGGCTGTAAGATGTGTCATAATATTTCTTCCGTAACAATATGAGAATTTTTTTTCTGGGCTTTTATATTGAAATTTTATAGCGTTAGTCTTATGGCACTGAATTCACTGTAGGACGTCACTGTTCAAAAATGTGTTTAAACAGATATTTTTATTTTTGCTTCAGCTTTGTGTAATATAGCACCTTCACATCATTCACTCTTTTTCAAAAAAGTCCTTTACGTATAGCCTCTCTTATTCTCCGTCATTAATTTTAACATATTCTAGACCAGCAAAATTATGTTCGGGCACAGTAGTTTATTACTGAAGCACAAAAACCTCAATCAAAAAGGAAAAAAGGGGGGAAATGTACAGGTACATAATTATTATGAAATGAATATAAGCTACCACCGGTATTTTGTATTTTCCTCATCCTTTCAATGCTTCTAGTTTGCCCTGGAACTTTATATATCATTCCAGTTCCAATGTTTTAACAATATCTTAGTTCTATTTCATGAAAATGAAACTTTTTTTTAATATTTGCAAAACTTTGTTATTCCTGACAGGTTGGAGAATACATTATTTTCCATGTTCGGTCCAACTATTACGTCGAATGGTTTTCGTACCTGGTAAGTTACTTGTACTCCTATCTTTAAATAACATACATATGGTTGTTACAGTCGACTCCTCTGAAACAGAACTCGAAGGGGTTCCACAAAACTGTTTCATTTATCAGAAGTTTCTTCCAAGCAAAGTACACCTATTTAGTGAATGAAAACCTTTATTTAAATTGCATAAACTTCACTGTGCTCATGAGGATGAGTAGGAGAAAAAAAAAAAGGTGTGAAGGTTGGTTTGTTTGGCAAGCTTGAATTGTTTTTTCACAAGATAAGCACCCATGCCAAACAAACAAGCCCGAAATTCTGGACAAGCCTTATGCTCAAAATAGCGCTGCAAAAGTTCAACAGCCTCTTTAGCTGATCGGTCCACCACTACACTGGCACTATTGTCTCCACATTCATCGCTGGAAGGTTGATCCTCATCTTGCACTTCGGCAATCATTTCCTCGACAGTCTCCTCACGACAGGTACAAATGTTTTCATCAATTGATTCGTAGTCCTGCAGCGTGAAAGGGGCACAGGGCCCGACTTCACTGATTACTGCCTCAATGTCGGCATTAGCAGGGCTTTCGTCTTCATCAGGTACTGCTCCTTACACTTGAAAGCCAGCATGATGAAAGCATCTGTATATTGTTGTTGCCTTCACTTGCTCTCAGGCACAGGCCATAATGTGGATGGCTGCCAATAAATCTATGCTGTAGCATTTCCCGCTGTCTGCACAAAGCAGCGATCGATGAAGCGATTGTCTGCGGTTATGAACTCTAATGTTCTGAATAACTCCTTGATCCCTCGGCTGGATCACTGCCGTTGCATTGGCAGGCAAGAACTGCAGAGTGAAGGCTTGGAGTCTTTCAACCTGACCGTGGGGCGGGCAATTATTCACGATGAAGACAACCTTCCCGCCTTGCCTCGTAAATCTTGCGTCTTCCTCCTGTAGCCAGTTTTCGAAAATGGCCATGGTCATCCACGCTTTTCCGTTGGCATTGTACGCAACGGGAAAGTGTAAACACCTTTGAAACAATGTGGGTGTCTTGATTTTTCTATTACCAACAGCTTCAATTCCTCATCTCCTGCTTTGTTTGCACCCACAAGCACAGTGATGCGATCTTTACTGCGTTTTCCTCCACTACAGGCTTGCCTTTGAAGGTGAGAGTATTTGATGAAAGCGCTTTATAAAAAAGACCCATATTGTTGATGTTGAAGACGTCTCCTGGCTCAAAGCTCATCAAAATTTCCTTAAGCCATCCCTTTTGCCAGTCAGTGTAAATGTCCCTGTGGACTGCAGCACTCTCACCTGAGATTGCTTTGAAGATTAGGCCATGGCGTGTTTTGAAGCGACTGAGCCATCCGTCGCTTAGGACGAAGTTCTCAACACTCGTATGCATGGCGATCTCTAGAGCTTTCTGCTCGAGAACTCGTCACTTATGGGCAAATTGGAGCTCCGTGCACACTTGAACCACAGAAAAATAACTTTTTCTAGTTGTTCATAAGACGTCGTCCGCAGTTGTTTAGATGTAAAGATCCCGTTCTTTACAGCGCCTACAATCTTTTCTCTGCCTTTGCAAATCCGCGACAGTGTCGATTTCGGGATGTTGTATTTTTTTGCTACTTTCGTCTTGGGCAGGCTGCTTCGATCGAGCTCCTGAAGAATTTTCAGCTTTTTTTCAAGCGAGAGTGCATGGTGCGGCCGCTTCCTTTCCATCAGGCTGAAATAACACCTCGGTTCACTGCACTTAGCTGCACGAATAGGCCTAACACACAACTCACTCGCCAACTCGGCTCCCACAGCCATTACAAGCAATGGCTACTGGATTGGCCTGTCTCGAAGTGCTGTCATGGTTGTGAGACTGCCTTTGGCCTGAGCGAGTTTATGCTGTGTTTAGAGTTTGTGTTGCTTAACCGTAGGTGACCAATAAGCACCGTTTCTATTAACCGATGAATTTTACTGCTCAACACATATAAATCCAGCCATATGAGCCCATTTAGTTCCGTTAATGAGGCATTTTTGTTTAAGTGAGTTTCGTTTATAGGAAGTTCACTGTATGTGGCAAATGTTTTGGAATTTTTCATTTTGTAGACGAATAAAATGGTTTCATATAGAAGCGCTTTGCACCATCTTCTGCCAGTAAAGCCATTGTTCATTGGGATCGGATAGCCTCCAAAATAATTCAATTTGTTGCTTGGTGTATTGGTGCGTAATAACTTAACAAAAGAATAAATTTTCTGTCCGATATGACTATATGCATGTACATACTGAACTATGTTTTGTTCTCAACGTAAACCTCAAATTACAGCCTGTGTCAAACTAGTGTTGCCACTTCAACAGGCCTCAATTTTGTTGTGTGTGAAGTTGTACCTTTAAAGTGTACACATCTTGCATCAGAAACTTTTCCCTACATAAGGCAATGAAAACCATGTGGTAGCGTGGGGGGAGACCAGCTGCTGTACACGTAATAAAATACAGCTGTTCATATTTTTTCTTTTTTTAAAGGGGTACTGACACAAAAACTTTAGCCTGGCGTTTTTCTGATGCAATGTGTTGCTGTGAGCGTGTTAGTCATGACATGACACATCATTTGCTGCAGCACGTGACAGATAAATAATCCCTCATTATCAATATAATTGCCCCTCATTATCAATTAGTTTTGGTTTGAGAGATTTTCAAAAACTAGTTGCAACTGTCGCCACCTAGCATGTGCAGCTCTTGACTACGTCAGCACACAGCTATGACGCACTTCCGCACAGTTCGCATCAAGAATTACTTTCGAATAGGAAACAGGACTGGAATGTCGCCAAACACAAAACTTTATAAGCGTGCGCCACGGCAATGCACTCGCAACCAGCCGCCTAGAAATATAGACTTCGGCAACTAACGCGGCAAAAGAAAAATGGCGGCTAAGACGTCATCATAACTTGCTTTGTTGACCACAGCGTGGTGACGTGAGGGAAGTAGGGGGTCACCTTGGAGTCCTCTCTGATGGTGTCTATAGCGCTATGAAGTCAGTCGCTCACGCAAACTTCAAAATTAATTTAAAATACCTTCCAAGCTATATTCGTTGTTGATATCTTGCAGATGATTACGAATGTTTACGAGAATCGACCCCGCAGGATATCTCGGCTCCAAACTTTTCTGTCATTACCTCTTTAATGCATACAAGTATAGCTTGTGGCTTGTTCTGTCTGATACAACCTTGTTATGTCTTGCATTTGGTTCTATAATGCTACCCACATTACATTATGTGACAAATTATGTGGGCATGGTGGTGGTACATTACAGATCATTTCAAAGGGCATCATCTTGCTGTCTGGTCAAGAAAAAATGACTTCAAGCATCAAGGCCTTTGCAGTAACCCTATCCCCTGAGATGGCACCTACAGCTACCATTGTCATCTATGACTTGGCGAGAGGCAGCGAAGTTGTTGCTGAAAGCCTGACTTTTCCTGTTGATGGCATATCCAGAGACAGGGTAATCTTGCAACTAAATCAAACTGCTTCTGTTGCTATTAGCCTGGTCTGATCTGTGTGCATGAGCCCTGGAAGCCATACAACCATGACTATAGCAGGCGTTACCTTGGGTCAGCACACCTTTTCAATTCTGAACTTTATAAAAATGAGATGCGTATGTGAAAAAAGGTTCTTTTATATTACATATGGCTATTGTTAATCAACTTTTTGGGGAGTATTACAGTCTGGACATAGTGTAGTGGCAAAGTAAAGGCTTTTGAATTGATCTGAAATGTTAACATAATACTCTATTGCAGTTCAACATGACCCTCAACAACCGAAAGGACAAAACAGGACACACTATTGAAGTAGCCATCTATGGAGACCCAGGAACATACGTGGCACTGTCTGCTGTTGACCGCACTCTCTACAACATGCAAGCAGGCACCGAGATCAGTTATTCTGAGGTAACATTACTGCATACACTCTTTCATTTGCTCATAAAAGGGATCGTACACATCATTTGAGGTTTGAACATGTCGCGCCCTCTAGCCAATGCTTCTGTATCCAGCTTGAAAAAACGAGAAGAATATGTGGGTCAGGGAGGCTACTGGGAGAGAAGGTCTTCCATCCTCCATCTGAGCTGTCTAGCCCAGACCAGGAACTAGCTGGATCTGGCAATGAAGTTGTTTCATTCGTTCCTTGTGTTTTGAATGCATTCCAATAAAAATGCATGTATTCTTTTTATTATAATAAGGCCAACAGGTTTCATTGTGCATCAGAATGAGACTTGTTAAATGAGGCACTTATGAAAATTAGTTGACAGCAGCTGAAACTTTTGTACACTTTTTCAGGAAATCTATCTACTTTGTCATTTGGAGACCTTGCTTTATTTGTCTTCTTATGCCCAGAAACAACTAGGCTTCGTTGCATTGTTTCCAAAGCCAGTTTGATAGCTTATATCAGATAATATAATATTTCTCATGCAATCTCTTTTCTTGCAATTTTGATAGATATTATGTAAGTAGGCCATTTTTATCCACCCTTTCAAACTTTTGCCCAAGCTACTTTATGTCACCTTGGGAATGCAAAAAAAAAATACCGTACACATGCATGGTGGTTATTTTAACGCACAGTAGGCTTACCAGAAGTGTACATATTTTTCCTGTATTTGGTAAAACTGTTGTTTATAAAAAAAGCATGGATTTTCCAAGTAATGTTACACATACTTCATTTCATATATAGCAAGCAGGCAATGCTGCACAAGCTGTGCAAGTGGGGCAGTCATAGAAATCTCACTCTGCAATTTTTTCAAAAAAATTTGTTCTTATTTGTCACATATTTTCTGAATATTAAACCACTCTGTGTAGTATTGCAACTACATTTTATACATGCTTGTCTCTGTCTATGAAGCTTGGAAGCTTGGGCAAGTTGGTAGGACATAACTGAATGCAGGAACAGCGCAACCTAGAAGTAGTTACTTCATAACTACGGAAGTGAAAGAAACAAGGACAGAAAAGAGCGCTGCCCTTTTCTGCAGCGCTCTTTTCTGTCCTTGTTTCTTTCGCTTCCGTAGTTACGAAGTAACTACTTCTAGGTTGCGCTGTTCCTGCATTCAATCTCTGTCTACTTGCATATTTTTGTTCACCTTTGGGCTTTCAGTATGCTGTGCAAAATGTTTTCATTGCGAGTGCAAAGGATGCACTATTGCTACTGGTCGCATAAGCATATTTTTCTGGTCTTTGTTGGTAGACAGATTGAGACCTTTTGACACTGTTGGCATAATGAATATGTCACACAGTAGATTGTCGATAATTGGAACTCCGGGGGATGTCAGGATTTTGTTTGTGTTATCACAAGTTCAGACATATATGAATCGGGGCAACATACCAACTGGCATTGTGATGTTCATTGTTTCCCAGTGCTGCAGAAACATCATAGACAGCTCTGCATGATTGTCAGTAATGTTATTGGATAATAGTAATCGTACTACAAACTCATACAGATTTGTTTTGTTTTCCTTTTTTTCCTGATTCCGCTAACTTGTGCAATAGTTTGCCCTGAGGAAGTTGTGTAAACAAATAATGTATGTAATTTTCAGCTATTTTTAGACAGATACTGTGACAACTATAATTTTGTTTGTTAGTTGTGCCCTTCCTGTAACAACCCTCAAGAGAGGGTTAATAGTACGATTAAAGAAAATTTAGAAAATGAATAAAATATTGGTACAGTCGACTCCCGATAATTCGAAGTTGGTTAATTTAAATTTTGGTTAACTAGAAGTCAACAAGTGGTCCCATCTATTTTGCATGCACGCCTATAAGAAAAAATGCTCGATAATTCGAAGTTAAAAGCCCGTAATGTTGGTTAATTAGAAGTTATTTTTCAGTCGAGAGCCTCGAGGCGACCGTAATTTCTTAATAAAATGAATTTTTCGTGTGCCAAGACCGCCAAGACAGCTGTCACACCGCGCTGTTTTCGCTATCCCCACTGGCCGCAGTGCCACGGTTCATGAAGCAGCCATCTTGTTCAGTGAACACCAAGACATCGCAGTGATCGCATCGGCTAACTAGGTCTTTCGTTGTGTGTCGATTGTTGTGTGTCGAGTGCTTCAGCCGCACGCTGGGTTGAAGTACAGTGTTCTAGTTGAAGTCTGGGTGAAGTTGGAACAGCGCAACTAGATGCTGGCGGAGCAGAACGCTCAAACACACACATAACACTGTGTGTGTTTAGGTGTTCTGGCATCCGCGTCGAGTTGCGTTGTTCAAACATAGCATGATAAACTAACTAGCCCACCAAAGCACTGTGGGTTGATTCCGCACGTGTTTCCACAGCTCATTTTGAGTGTTGTGGGAGCGAGGTTTGATAATAGCAACTTGCAGCCCCTACCGATGCTTGACCTCGTGGCGAAAGTCGAAACTCGTGAAAGAAGTTGACCAGGGAGGCACCGCCAAGCAAGACATTGCACGAAACTACGGCGTTAAGTCTAACTCGCTCTCGAATTTTAAGTGAGAACAGATGAACTTAAGGACGATGGTTTTGGGGCCATTCTATTGACGCCCGTTTTGAGAAATTCATCATCATGGACAGTAACTTCAATTCACGCGTTCGACTAACAAACCGAAAAGTTGTGCCATGGTTTGCCTAGTGGACGACAACAACGGCGACATATAAGCGAACCGCCACCGAGGATTACCGTTGTTGCTGTGGGTCTTGCTCTTGCACTGCGGTTTTTATGTTTGGTTGAAGAAGACAATCCTGAAGAAGCATTTCGACAAGCGTAGTGCTTACAAAACTTGCTAGCCGCAGCCAGGGTCGGCAAGAGAAGCTGACAGACTATTTTCTAAAAGAACTGTCAGGTTTGAAGCAATAAAAGTGCAGATTTTTGTGCATTTTGCTTGATTGCAAGTTTGCTTAATTCAGTTTTTTCAGTTCTTGTGAACTTCATATTAACGGGAGTCTATTGTGCTCGTTATTCTACAAGGCATGCATGCAGGCGTAGAGATGGGATAAAATATGTTGTGGGACCCGTGACAGCTTGTAGCCCCTTACAATTTTTAAAATACTTTTTGCAGGACATCAGTTTACTGCATCAAAAGTGACTTGAAGAGGCATTCTGCATTTCAGAGACTAAGGCCAGGCCATCTCGGGCTTCTTTTTTTTTTTTTTTTTCTCAGCCACCATGCGATTCGGGTTGTGCGGTTTTGTTAGTTTGGCCGTTTTGTAGGAAGGTAGTCATCTTTATTTGCGACTGTTAGTTTCATAGAAATGTGTGTATGTTCATTCAGAATCAACGAAAACAGCACTTATTTTCAGGCATGGAAAAGCAAAAAAAAATGTTATAATCTCTTCATACTTTGTGCCACTGTATATTAACTTCTTAAGGTATCAACTAAAGAGGTGATGCCCTCATATGCAGACACTTGTCAGGTGAGGTTTAGGATAGGTTAAAAAGTTCCTGGCTAGGGCACGAACAAATGCAATGAAAGAGACCAACGAATACCAGCAAGTTTCGTCGCCGTGGGTGGTAGAAAAGTTTTTATGGGGGTGTACTTTTATGGCTACACGTTGGGGTATCAGGATAGAGTACTAATTTTGGTATACTCTTTTCAGGTGCTAAGGAAGATGAACTCGTTTGACAATGTGATAAATGGCACACTAACTCAGGAGTGGTTTTCGAGAGACGGTAATAGCTACAGCTATGTGTGCTTCCCATCATCCACATATGGGCTGGACTCAAACAGGACATTTGAGGTGAGCTGTAATCTTAATTTCTTACATATTTGGGGACATTGTGAACAAAAATGCTACAATCAGGAGAGGCAATATTTGTGATTTTCAACGAAGATCACAAATATTGTGAGACGAGGATTATTGTGTTTCACAGAGTAAGAAGATACCTTTCTTTTAGTTCATAAATGAGCTGTGGATGTGGCTCGTGCTTTGTGAATAACTAGCTCATTCACTTTCTAACAGTTTGTTTTTCGGTTTGTTTGATTACTCAGTTTGCAGGATTGCTGGTCTTCAGCGATTCTAATGTCACCCGCATGAGAGGTAAGGGCTTTCTAATTATGCTGGTTTCCTTGTTTCTTTTTTCTGCCTTTTTGCGGTCACGAATTGTGCATTGAGGTGCTCACCATGTAGAATCTGATCCATTAAATAATTTGTGTTTGTCATTTGTGTGAAACATATTGGACAACGTGGGCTAATGTATTACTAGGGTTGCAAGGTTTGTCAGGACCATTGGTTTGAAGATGTTAACAAATAATGTGACTAAATTTCAAGCACATGCTTTGAGTGACTGAAATTTATTAAAAGGCTTTACATAAAACTAGATATGCATCAATTATTTTTCAGCTCTTTCTGTTCTGTGTTTTCTGGCCAGAAATTGTAGAAAAATACAAATTTTTTTCATTTGCAAAAATTGATTACACCCATTATGAAACAACAACAGAAAAACTAATGAGAGTCACTTTATTTGCTAAGTAGATGCAAGATATCTACTCTCAAACCTCTATGTAATGAACTCAGACATAGCAAATTATTGTTTATAGTAAAGTAAATAAAGAATAGTCTTCTAATAGATATAGTGTTATATACCTTTATGACAAATTTTGAATATAACAAACCCCTTTTTCATGTAAGGTGCAGTTTTGCTATAATGAGGTTTCAGTGTACATATTTTTTTAATATCTGGACTTGATTTATCCCCCTTCTTCCTTACATGACCCAGTATTTAGTAGCATATGTTACGCTTGCTTCTGTATTGGCCTTATTATAAACCACTCAGCTGTCTGATTCTATATAAAACCTGTGCATACTGGCACTCCGACCAGTGTCAGAAGTGTGCAAAGCATGACGAAGCATGGACATGGGAAAAGGCACTGCTACAAAGTACCATCACAGGTCATGTCATCTGACATGCTTAAAGTAGAAGCATAGTTCTTGTGAAGACATATAGAGATGTAGAACTTGATTTTAATTTAGTGCTGGTTTATTGTGGCATGAGGACGATAAACATATGTGGTCAGCCTATTTATCTGGTACACTTGCCTCATGCTTAATTTGATCTCGGCCTGAAGAGCACCAGCAAGATTGCACACACCTGCTCCTGGGGGAAGTGTCTATTGGGAAGCCCTGTGTGCTGTGAGAAAACACGACAGCTTTTCTTGTTTTCTAGTTTGATAGCCCGTGCCACCATGGTGAAAAAAATTTTAGTTTGATAGCCCGTGCCACCATGGTGAAAAAATTAGTTTTGTTTAGGAAAGCTTTTTTTTTTTCAGCTTTTCAGAGTGTTCATGCGAAATACATTCTCCAGCTGTGCTCTTGTCTGCAGCTAAAGTGAAATGTGCTGTTCGCTAGTTTTGATATAAGCTGTTGTGGCTGCTTAACAGTCCTACTTTTCTGAACAATGTGGCTAAGCTTTGATTTCTTGTGTGTGCTTATTTTAATTTCTCTAATTTACTGTAATCATTAGGGTGTAAGTTCTTGTCCAGCTTTGTTCATTTGTGTGCTTTATTTTTTCATATCTAAAATGGCTTTTCTTTTCAGTTTATCACGTTCAAATTTCACTGCAGGCTTCTGTGCTTAGTCTTCTTATGACTTTTTGACTAATGTGTGCTTATTGCTTCGAGATGGAAAAAGTTATTTTTTCTGTTCCTCATCATCGCTCGGTGTTTTTCTTTCCATTTGCCTTTTGCCCCACCGCAAAAACCAGATGACTGCAATATATCAGCAGGTTATGGCACATGTTATGATGGTGCTTGCTACCGCCTTGACCGGCAGTGTGATGGCTACTTCGATTGTGAAGATGGCTCTGATGAAGCGAGATGTGAGAACATTATTTATATTTTCACTTTTGTGTTATCAGAAAGTTTGTACTGGCAACAAAAAAACTGTTTTCTTTCTCTCTTGTGAAGGTGACAATAAACAGCGGTTTAGCATTAGCAAGTTTGAAATGTATCGAACAAACAGATACCAACGACTGTATTCAAATGCATGGCTCTGGAAGGACATCAATATTGGGTTCGTATCCTTTGCTTCTTCTCTCTCTTTAGTTGAAATTCTTAAACTTGAAGAGCTTAATTGATTAAGGAAGCAGCGTGTTTGCACAACATTAGCCACAAGGAACCTTCAATGTCCCAACTGCACTTCACATAATTCTAGACTTTGGCTTAGCAGTGAGTGAGTGTGCAGGTTGTATTCTCGCAGATGTCTTGCAAACACTTAAGTTTCCATCTAAAATTTTGAAAATTCCCCTGCTACTAAAAGGATGGGCTGTCAACTTTTCTGCAGTATTGCATATGCAATAAATATTAAGTGGAGATGCGAGTCGAAAAATCGCGTTTTTAGCGAAATTTCTCGTATTTCTGATTTTTATTGCATTGTAATCTTCAAACCTTCTTCTTTCATCTGTGAAAATTTCAACACTAAATTCGAACCGCAAAATGCAAAAAAAATGTGTATGAAGGCATCGCGGTGGCTCAAAATTTCGTGAATTTGCGCCGATATTGGCCATCTTTGACTGCGCGCTGCTCCCCTTCGCAGTGCCGCCCGCCATCGCGATCGGTTGGGAAAGTTGCGTCCAGCCTTCTTCTTACAGCTTCGACGACCGCCAGTTTCGTACGTGGGCAAAAAAAAAAAATAAAAACGAGGCCTTTTTATCACGTGGTTTGAGCGGTTTGAAACGCGCGGCACCCTAAGCCGCATCGCCATTGGCTACCGAGTCATTGTCAGCTGTGTTGGTGGCGGCCATCGGCATTTGGTCCGTCTGCTTTTCTGCGCGTCTATCCATATTTCCGCGATGACAAACCCGAAAAAGAGCAATGTGACACCGCAGAAGTTTCGAACGAAGCACAAGTTCAAGGGAAGGCGGCGTAAAGCGCCCCGAACGACGGCGACGAACGAGAACGCGCCTACGTGTGCTAGGCCTGACAGCGGCATCGACGAGTGCGCGAGCGACAGTGGCTGCGATGAAGGGATTGACGCTGCACTTTCTTTCGTCAGTGCTTCGGAAAAGAAGCTCGGCTTCTTCAAAAAAGACGAAAGACAGCGCGATGAGGTTTGTGCAACGACAGTTTTGTGCGACACCCTCTTGCTGACGGCACTTGTGGCAGGTGTGGCATGCCCTGCTTGCGGTATTCAAAAACTTGCCGTTCGGGAGCCGGCAGAAAAGCGCAAGGGACTTTCGTCGCTCCTCGAACTTCATTGCGAAAACAGCGAATGCTCAGCGACTGTTCTTTCGTGCTCCTATACGTCACTGCGTGTTACAGCGGACGGCAGCAGCCGAGTGAGCCAATGGTACGACAGTGGGAGCTCCCGAGATAGTTTCGCTGTAAATGTGAAGGCGGTGGTGGCTGCACGCGCTGTCGGCATTGGGCATGAGCAATTGTCGAGATTTTGCTCCATTATTGGACTCCCAAAGCCAATGCACCACCGAGGATTTTTTTTTCGATAGCAAAGAAGGTGCACACCGCTGCCATGGCAGCTGTGAGTGAAAACTTGCGCCGATCCAGAGAGTTGACGAAAGAAGTAGCAGGCGAAACTGATGTGGCTGTTATGTTCGACGGCACTTGGCAGAAGAGGGGCCATAAAAGCCACAACGGGATTGGCGCAGTTATCTCCTTAGATACTGGCCTCTGCTTAGACTTCGAGGTCATATCAAATTACTGCCTGACATGCAGTAGGCACAAGGATATGGGCCCAGACGAGGAAGTGTGGCAGGCATTCCATGGCCCAGTCTGTGAAAAAAATGCAGACTGTTCCTCCCATGCCATGGAAACGGAGGCTGCAATGCGCATTTGGCAGAGAACATTGACTTATGACACCCCACTGCATTTCATGACATTCTTGAGTGACGGTGACAGCAAAGCATATAGTGCAGTTGCAGAGTCAAAAGTCTATGGTGCTGTCAATATAGAAAAAGAAGACTGCACTAATCATGTGGCCAAGAGACTTGGCACCGCGCTTCGGAAGCTGCATGTGCCATTACCACGAGGGCAGAAAATGAAAGAGCCAGCCATTCAGAAGCTCCAAACATACTATCAGATTGCCATAACAAGCAACAGGGGAAGTGTACGGGATATGTACACTGCAGTATGGGCTTCGCACTTGTACTCATGCTCTACTGACAATGCTGGCAGCCACAAGTTTTGCCCTGCAGGAACAGAGTCGTGGTGCAAACATCAACGCGCTGAAGCACTTGGTGAACCTGCACCACACCACACACCTCTCCTGACAAAAGCACAGAGATTGGCTGTTTTGCCCATTTATAAGCGGCTAACGGATGAGAAGCTCCTTGCTCGATGCATCAAAGGGAAAACCCAGAACGCATCGGAATCCCTGAACAGCAAAATTTGGCTACTTTGCCCCAAGACTAAGTTTGTCTCCCGAACGGTTGTCGAGACTGCCGCAGCTATGGCAACCCTGTGGTTCAACAAGGGTCATGCTACTTTCGAGCACATCCTGGAAGAGCTCAACATACTGCCATCTAGAGATCTAGATACTTTCAGTGATTCCCGCGATGCGAGGCGCATCAAGAGAATGTCCGAGCGTCTGACAGCAGAAGCAAGGGCCCACCGTCGTCGTGGAGTGAAAAGGGCACGGCTAGAAGAGAGTGCTCGGAAGGACCGTGAGGGCACAACCTATGCTGCAGGACAGTTCTAGTAACTTGCAGTGCTTTTCAAAGTTCTGTTGAACATTATGGCCAAAGATTATGCATTTCTAACAACTCTGTGATAAAAAAAAAAAGGTTTCAAACTTTCAAATGCGTTTTTCTCCTTTTGCAGTTTTGTGTGATTTGTGCTTTTTATACACGCTAGTTCGTATACTTAGAATTGTCGTACCTCTATGAAATTTTGCACATAGCATGATGAAGGCCCATAGAGTGCAAGTATCTATTCAGATTGTCAGTGCTGCTTGATTATGTCTTTCAAAAATTACATAACATTGAAAGCCCTTGGCAACTAGAGCCATAGTAAATTTTTCTATTTTATTATTGTATTGCACCTTTTTACACACAAAATTTATATAATTTTTTGCACTCTACAGTTCCAAAGGATCATAGTCAGCTATATCTGCATGCTTTATCTCAAATTTTTATAGGTCAGAATTGTTGCATAACAATGGCCATAATTTTGCAGTATCTGTCCTGCAGAAAGAAAACCAAGCAATCTACATGAAAATAAATGACATATTTGAAAAGAGGAGAAAAAACTCTATTAGCATGCCAATTTGTGTTAAATTCAGACTCTTATTAAAGAAAATCGTTTTTCGAGTAGCATCTCCCCTTAAAAGGTGCCCCTTCTTTTTTTTTGTAAATGTGTTTGTATTAGCAAGTTACAAACCATATATATATTATAAAAAATTTTTAATTGCCTTAGGCTAGAAAAACTGGTATTTAACAGTTGCAAATGTGTGTAATATATAATTTTGCTAGACATTGTGTTTATTAAATTACAGTTTTGTGTATTACATCTCAAAAGTAAACTGTCACTTGTACTCACAACTAATATACTAGCAAGGTATTTGCTGATATTGCATAAGTTCAAATGTTTGCCCTATGGGCCCATAATATGATGTTTTTTTTTCTTGCATCTAGGCCTTTGGGCTATTACATCTTCAACATACCTGTGCCAGACGTGCCAACAGAGTGGGTGATCAGTGCATTTGGAATGGATGAGTCCAGTGGCTTTGGCATTTTGTCCAACAGCATCGAAGTGAGTTGCACACTAAAGTATTTATATTAGTTAGATCTCAGTAGAAAAAAAATTTTCATTGTGCATTTTTGAAATGGGCCGCAAAAAAAATTCTTCTGCAGCACAGGTTCATTGTCTTCCTTTTTTTTTAGTTTTCTAGTGCAAAGCCATTTTACATGAATGTGGAAATGCCAACAAAGATCCGCCTTGGAGAACAGCTAGGTATACGTGTTACCGTCTTCAACTACAGACTCTACGAAACGGAGGCAAGTTCTCTTCTGTTAATGTGTGGCTTCAGTTGATAATCACATAATGCTAATATTCAATATGATTGATTGATATGTGGGGTTTAACGTCCCAAAACCACTATATGATTATGAGAGATGCCGTAGTGGAGGGCTCCGGAAATTTCGACCACCTGGGGTTCTTTAACGTGCACCCAAATCTGAGCACACGGGCCTACAACATTTCCGCCTCCATCGGAAATGCAGCCGCCGCAGCCGGGATTTGAGCCCGCGACCTGTGGGTCAGCAGCCGAGTACCTTAGCCACTAGACCACCACGGCGGGGCGCTAATATTCAATAAATAAAATGACTTTTAATATATAGTGCGTGCATGCATGTGTGTTTGTGTGTGCATGCATGTGTGTGTGTGCATGTGTGTGTGTGCATGTGTGTGGTTCACTCTTCTCCAGTAATATGTGCATAAATATAAACAATTTCAAGTTCAGCTTGCAGTGGGTGTCGCAACAGTTGGGACACAAATCAGAAAGGCCTCGCTCTCTTGTACTAAAATTTTACAGAAGTCCCAATAACTAGGAGATGCTATAATAAAGGAGTACTGACACCTATCTTTGGAATTGTGTTTACACTGCCATATACATAAATCTACTGTATACAGAGGCGGCTCTGAGCAAGTGTGATGCTCAGCAAATACTGGCAAGATAAAATATTTCTATACTAAAGCCAATTTTTTCATGGTGCACCTACTAACATCGACACTAGCTTGATGTCAAGCTACAGTGCGAATTCTGGTGATTTTACGGAGCAGTCTGGCTGGTTGTGATGAGATTTTATGGAGCAATCTGGCTGGTTGTGATGACATTATGAACCAAAACTTCCAAAATGGCTGCTTGTTCGTAACCAACAGAGCCATGGTGCTGTGTGGCCATTAAAGCATTCCGATATCTAGCACTGGCACATGACGAGAAGCTGATATGCTGTTGTGACGTCAGGGCACAGTAGGAATCGAAACTAACTTTCAAAACACACTGTAGCTACTTTTTCAGGGGGCACTCATGCTTAGCAGTACATTTCCTGGGCTCTTGAGGTCTTGACCTTTTATTTGAATAAAAAAAATGAGTTCTGCTAATTTTTGTTTCAGTACTCCTTTTATGCTATAACTGTGAGCTTACGCGGGCTCTCTACCAACCAGGAAAACCAGAAATTTTGTCGGGGATTTAGAATAGTATGTATGTTCCTCATTCTTAACAAAGCAGCAGTGAGATATTTTGACAGGAGCACATATTGGCTCAGCCGTTTAGGCAGGTATCTGTGGTTTAACTAAGGAACTACTGTAATTACTCGAATCTAACGCACACTTTTTTTCCGGTTAAGCGAGTTCATAAATCACATGCGTGTTAGAATCGAGTACGGAAAAGAAAATGAATACGGTCATTCTATTGCCTTTGGCATTTCCAAGATGGTTGCCCCCTACCTGCGTCGGCATGGCGCATCGGCCATTTCCGCCTATGTGTTTCCCATGAGCGGCACTTCGTACATGTGCTGAGAAGTTCGTCACCTTGTAGTGCATTAGCATCGACGGCATGGAACGGCCGACTCCAAAAACTCGAGTGCACCACGATGCTGCTTTAAAAAGAAAAGTCATTGCGTGTGCAGCAACGGACGGAAATCGGGCCACATCGCGGTCGTTCGGAGTTCCCGAAACGTGCGTGCGGGACTGGCGGAAACAAAAGCAGAAGATTGTCGACAGCAAAGCTTCACGCAAAGGCTTCAGTGGACCACAGCAGGGTCAGTTTCCGCAAATTGAAGAGCTGCTCGGCGAGTATGTGCTTGAGCAGTGAGCGGCACAGCGGCCCGTGACGACAGAACTGCTCCAAGTGCGAGCTATGCAATTAGCCTTAGAAAAAGGTCTAATGCGGAGCCAGTTTAAAGCGAGCAGGTGCTGGCTAACTAACTTTATGAAGAGGAAAGGCTTTTTCCTCCGAAGGCGAACGGGCATATGCAAGAAGTTTTGCGGAGGAGTATGATGAAAAGCTTCCCAGTTTTCACTAGTTCGTCCTAAACTTGCGGCACAACAGCGGCTACCTGCTTGGGCAAATCGGGTAAGCCGATCAGACGCCTCCTTACTTCGACATGCCTGGCACCACAACCGTCGAGAAGAAGGGGGCGAAGCAAGTTTGCGTGTTGACATCGGTCCACGGTAAAACTACAGTGACGGCAATGCTCTGTTACACGTCAGATGGGCACAAGGTTCCCCTGTACCTCATATTTAAATGGAAGACGCTCCCGAAAGGAGTCGTTTTTTCGAGTGGTGGGATCGTGCGGGCCAACGAGAAAAATGGGTGCGCCTTGCAATCAATGTCTTACTTTTTATTTTCCGTCGTGGAAATCGGGTGCACGTTACAATCAAGGGCGTAGTAAAATCGAGTAAATACGGTACTACACTCACTTTTTTTTTTTTAAATTATTTTCTGTTTGCATGAAAGTGCATCTGTTTTGTGGGAATTTTGTGTTAACAGAGACTGCCTTGTCATGAATCAACAGTCCAGTTGCCCAACAAATCTTTGATGCATTTCTTCAGCTGGAGAAGTTGCCACTGTACAGCTGACACAGAGGATACTTTAAATGGTGTGTGGGGCAAACATACAGCGAGAGGAGGAGCTGGATTTAATGTGAACAGAAGGGGCTGACTCTTTGAGGAAGGCACGTGAGAGGAATCATGTTTCTGCCTATTTAACGGAGCTTGACTTCAAAAAGCAGTCTTGGCTGATGCCAAGATGCAGTTGCCTCTCACCCAAACCAAAATAAACTCTTTATCGCTGTAAAACGCAACACTGTAGCATTGTATGTCAGGATGGCTGAGGCTGACTATTCAACTCTTGGAAAAGAATTTCACTTGTGGCAGTGTCCAGGCTTCATACCATCGAGGCTGATAGAAATAGCTCATATTCAAAAGTATTTTCGTCCGTGCAATGCCTCATTATTTTTTTGTATATTTAAATGTACTACTGTATCTTTAATGGGCAATGCTATTTTTTATGAAAATATTGAAGAAAATATCTTAATTTTCTATGTGTAATTTACTAACCCCTCCTCTCTCGTTTTGTTTTGAATGGAATAAAGAATACTCCTTATTGTTCAAGGAAAAAAGGGAAAATTTAAGACCTTGTTTTCTATTGTTAGACACATTATTAATGAGAACTAACAGACGATGATGCCAAGGAAAGTACAGGGGTTGAGATTGGTAGTATCGTAAACATGAAAAAAGAAATGTTCACATTTATAATACAATTGACTGCAGTTGGATGTTCAGACATCTACCTGTTTAACCTATGTAGAGACTGCAGGAGCCCAGCAACAAAATGTGGAAGCAGAGAGGGGGCTTTTTTAGTGTGCATTGTGCACAATGTGGCTTATTCAGTTAATTGAGAAGATAAGTATATTAGCAAAGAATCCTAATGAGAATGCAAGACTCATCACAGAAACTGTAGCAATTGTTGAATTTGGCTCTGTTAGTAAGCCTTCAGTAGTTTTAATTGATAAGGAACTTGCTTTCTTGCACCCACTCATGCAGTGTTGTTCTTCTCGACCGGGCTATTTCCTGCTTTGTTTTAGAGTGCTTGCTCATGTTGGCTTCATGTTTCGCTAGGGCCAATTTTTTTATCGTATGCTGTAGCTATTTATCACATGCTGTCATTTTTTATAAATTGGTTGTTCTTCATAATCAAACTTTACTTGGAAGTCGGGACTTGTATTTGTTAATCTCTGTCCAGGGTCTTTTGCGCTGTGGTCACATTTGGTATGCAGAAGCATTCGGAGATTACCTGCAAAAATCAGAAAGTTTATAAATATTAAATTGGTATACACCATGTTAAGCTTTAAATAATCTCCCTTACTTTTTTCTTTGTTTTTTTTTCCTTCCAGGTGCTTATCACGCTGGCTAGCTCTCCAGACTACAGATTCGTCGTGGTTGGACCCTTGGGGCGAGTGAACTCCTATGCACCAGAAACCTCTTCAGGGGAACACCAGCACTTGATTTTCGTGAGTGATATTCAGTGCACTTGGATTGCTCGAGGCATTAATATTATTGACAGCCAGGGAAATTTCTTTTTAGTGCATCTGTAATAGATGAACAAGGAGATCCTATGCAATCTCAATGTAGTGCAGAGAATTTCACTGTTTCTCTCACTTTCTTTTGTGGCAAAAAAAAAATGTGCAAGTATAGATGGAGGAGGAGAAGAAATAAATGAGGAAGGACAGGGAGGTTAGCCAGTTCTCAGACATAGATGGAGCTTCTGTACAATGCTGTGCACCTCATTTTGTCAGCGTGGCTCATGTCAGGCCAATAGCCTAGGCACGTGATGAAATACTCTGCTGTGATTTTGTTATTTTTTTTAGTGGAAGCTAAGTGAAAAAGTATGTTAAGCAAAAAAATATTTAAATGGGGTGGTGACACAAAAACAGGTTTAACTTTATGAATTTCTTTTTTCATTTGTGCCCACATCCAAACTGAAGCCTTTTGTGTAATTTTGTTAGTTCATAAGTGCAATCTAACAGACCGATGTGCAAGCTCTTGCATATATATGACTGCAGTGTATATTTCAAGAATTAAAAGTTGATCCCCTTTCAGATCAAGCCTGGAAAATCTGCTGTTGTATACATGCCTATAGTACCCGTGCGCACTGGGACAATTGAAGTCACTATTCTTGCCAAGACTCAGATTGCAAAGGACATGGTGACACGTTGTCTTCTTGTGGAGGTCAGCACTTCATCTCTTTGCCTTCGCACAGTTGGATATTTGCATTGTCTAGAAGTGCTTCTAAGTTTTGCTTTCTCTATCTTTCAGCCTGATGGAATTCCTCAACATCGGCACACTTCCTTAATTCTGGATTTAACTCAGGGAGCATATTTAATCAAGTACCTGGACACAAACATCACTGAAACACCCATATTGCCCTTTCGACAGGATCGCTTGTATGTGTTCGGCAGTAACAGAGCCACCTTGTCTGTAGTTGGTAAGTGCAGTAAATTGTTGTTGAAAACCCAATAGGGGCAACTTTATGATTAACTAATCAATGGTTTAGTTATTTGTGTGCTGTGTTTCAAAAAGAATGGGAAGCTCTCTGATAATGTAAGCAAGCACTTATAAAAAGGACAAATCTCATAAATGTTTTATTGAAAACTTAAGCTTCAGCAATGAAATTGAATCAGTAACCTTTACCTGTTAAATATGCTTGAGGGAACGTTGAACTTGGAACTTTGAAGAATGTGCTACCTTTCTAGACTTCTAGATGTTTCTGGAAATGATGCCATAAGACTTACGTATACAGTAAAAGCTCGTTAATTCAAATTACACGGGAACGCTGAGCAATTTCGAATTAAACAAAATTCGAAATAATGAAAGTGAGCAAAAATGGGTGGATTTCGGGGGTGGGGTCACGAAAAATATTTATTGGCCAAAAAAGTCGGTGATGACCATCTGCCTCTTTTCTCTGAATGCCACAGCTGCGGCTCTCTGTTCCAGTGCGCGGACGCGGCGCAGGGAATCCTCTTCACCCTCTTCAAGCTGAAGAAGAGACGCGCCACATTAAGTGCCTCCATCACAGCAGAAGCTGACGGGCGCACAGGCGCTTCGTCATTTTCGTCTTCCTCACCTTCTGGCTCTTCAGCATCAGGCTGTGCACCGGCTACTTGAGCGATAATGTCCTCATCAGTCAGGGCACCACACACCGATGCATCAGTGTCAACTTCAACATAATCGGCAAAACGTACGCCCCGAAGAGTGTCGCGCAATGCCACTGGCATGAGCTCCTCAGCCCCATCCACGTCGACGTCACAACTATCCTGCACACTTCCAGCTGCAAATCCACTGTGGCGGAAACAGTTTGCGATTGTGGTCGCGGTCACCTGTTCCCATGCGCGCACCAGCATGTGCATGGCAGTGAGCAGCGTAATTCCAAAGTCCTTCCTGTCGCCCGTGCACAAAATCATTCTCTCCAGCACGTGACGCCTATAAAAGCACTTAATGTTCCTTATCACACCCTGGTCCATTGGCTGTAGGGCCGCAGTCGTATTTGCCGGAAGGAACACCAACTTAGTTGCTCTCAGCTCAACGTCGACTTTGTGCGCCAAACAGTTGTCGACGACAAGAAGAACGCGTCTGCCGCCCAGTTCCATTCGCCTGTCGAATTTCAGTAGCCACTTCTTGAATAGGTCACCTGTCATCCAGGCTTTCTTGTTTGCGGCGTACTCCGTCGGCAGTGAGCGAATGTTTTTGAAGCACCGTGGCTTGAGTGCTTTGCCAATCACAAAAAGGGGGACCTTTTCCGTACCGGTCATATTTGCGGCGACCAGAACAGTGACACGCTCTTTGCTGCGCTTGCCGCTGGCACAGCTGTTTCTCTTGTAGGTGATCGTCTTGTCTGGCTGCAACTTGAAAAATAACGCTGTCTCGTCAGCGTTAAACACATCCTGTGGTGAGTAGCTCTCCAAGTACTGCTGCAGGGTGTCGCTTCTCCAAGTAGCACATGTTTCGGCGTCCACTTCCTTTGCCTCGCCGGATAACGTGCGGAATACGAGATTGTGCCACTCCCTGAAACGATGAAACCATCCCTCGGAGGCGACAGTCTTCAATGTCCAAGCGCAGGGCGAAATCGGCTGCCTTGGCCATAACCCAGATAATCAATGCTGACTCCAGTTCCGGGAACTTCGCTGTCCTTAGCCTTTTTCGACTGGCGCTAAAATCCTCGGCTTCATAGGCGTTTTCAATGGCCGTCCTGTTGCGTATGTAGGTTGACAACGTGCTCGGAGGTATGCCGTGCTTCCTCGCAATTTCGTATTTGCTCGAGTTTCCTTGGTCAACCTCTCGCAAAATCTCCACCTTCTCCTTGACAGTCTTCGCGCAGTAGTTTTCCTGCGGCATCTTGCAACTTCGATGCGGAATAAGACGGCTTGACGGCGTGAACGAACAACGTGCTCGAGGAACAAAGTGACGCTGCCGGGAGAGGCCTAGGACTGCTAGGACTACTCCGCCGGCTCCTCAGTGTCCCGGGGGTCCCGCGTACAAGTGGCGCCAGGCGCTGAGATACCGGGAGGGCTACGGAAAAAAAAAAATTGCTCCCTGGATTTTGGAGGCCACACTTTGCTCGCCCTTTGCTCGGAGGCCACTTGAAGCTCGAAAAAACTGGTCGTGCCGCCTATCGTTCGACCGTAAAAGCTTCCACTAGTGTTTGACGATGATGACGCTCGGTGGCGCGCGCTTCGAATTATCCGTAGAGGCACCAATTTCTGTTCGAATTAACGAATCGTTTTACACATGGTCTTCTATGCACTGCGGACCGGACTGTGGCGACCGTTTCGAATTATCCAAAATTTCGAATTAATGAGGTGTGAATTAACGAGCTTTCACTGTACTCCGCTATGTACACTCATATTCTCACTGGTAAAATTAAACAAATTTCCCAAAGTGGGGTTTTATGGGATTCTGTAAACACCTGATAATACTAACAGAAACCAGTTTAGTATATACTGACTGCATATTGTTGTAGCAGCAGCAGCATTACATTGTCAGCTTTTTGTACTATACGAAATGTAGTCTGTGAACTTACAATATGCATACTACACTTCAGGTGATGTTGTTGGACCAGCATTTCCCACAATGCCTGTCAATGCCAGCAGCTTGCTGTCAAAGCCTTTCTACTGTGGTGAACAGAACATGTTCAGCTTTGCTGCAAATCTGTATACGTTGCTGTACCTTCGATTAACAAACCAACGTGATATGCATCTGGAGAGGCAGGCATTCAAGTATTTGAATCTCGGTAAGTCATCGTATGACAAGTTGATAATTTCTGCAATACAAAGCGAAACCGGGGAAAACTTTGAATGCAGGATACCAGAGGCAGCTAACCTATCAGAATGATGATGGAAGCTTCCAGGTGTTTCGTTGGCATAGCCAACCAAGTGTTTGGTACGTATTCTTTTTTTTTTGTTATCAGTTAACTGGTCAATACTTCAACTTTCCATGGTTAAGCACAAAGACTACTGACTCCTAAAAAGCGCACAGGACCACTGCTAAACACTTTCCAGAGGTGTGTGTGTGTGTGTGTTTGTGTGTGTGCGTGCGTGCTTGTGTGTGTTCCTCAGTGTTCGTATTTGTGTGTCTTGGAAATGTGGCACCAACATACCAAAACCTAAGTACTCATAATCTTTGTTTACTCATTACGTTTCACTCCCATATCATCATTGCTGGGACTGAAATTGTTGTGCACAGAAGTGCAGGTTGGTACTGCAATCTCCACTTTCTCTAACAGGCTGACAGCGTTTTGTGCTCGAGTATTCCACAAGGCAACATTTCAAGAATGGGAACAGTTTTTGTACATCGACCCGTCCGTCATTCAAAAGGCCATTGCCTGGCTTCTGGACAGGCAGTCACCTGAGGGTTCCTTTCATGAGACATCGTTCTATGCATATGATCGCAAAATGTCTCTCCTGGTATGATGTTCGGTTTTCTTTTAGCTTCATTATTTTGTTCAAACCAGTAGAATCATGTTTTTTGTACACTGAGCTTTTACTTTCAGTCCGAGAGGCCAGAAGACACTGTACGATTTCGCAACGTGTCTCTAACCGCCCACGTGCTCATCACATTGGCTGAAGTTAGGGATATCAGAGGTGTAAGTTGCTCCCCAATCAAACTTTTCATAATCTGTTAGGGCTAAATGAGAAGCATGAAATTTGTTTAAACTAATTAACTCATTCAAAGTCCCATTTTGGGAATTCCTATGATAAAATTTCATGCGTCATTTGAAGATATTGTAACCAAATTTTAATTATAGTGCATCACTGAAACATCGATTTCTCAAAAAAATTATCTTGTTTTATTGACAGCTATTGTAGTATTGCAAAATTTCCAGAACTTTTTAAATTCAGTCTCTGACTGATTTAGACTACAGTGTAGGTCATGTTTACTGTAAAAAGAGGTAAAAAAAGATACCTGTAACTCTGCTTATATTTGACAGATTTGGAAAATTTTTATGCAAGAGAATTGTAAGGTGGTCAACTGCTAGAGTGTTGTCATTTGATGATTACTTGAAAAGGTGTTACAGGGCCCTTTTTGAGGCCAACTCCGGCGATTTTTCGAGGTTGGTGGATCTCAATGAAATTCACTGGGTACATTCATTTGTATGTTTGTGCCATTCATGCCAAATTGCAGGCTTGAGAATTTCACAGATTCTTTTCAAGTGCATTTTATAGCTTGCCTCGAAACGCTCACCTCGCTTGCCAGAATTAATGGCAAGATTGTGTGTGTGACGTTGAGTTTTGCTTGGCAGAAGTGACGAACCGATGTGCTACCGCAGCGTCTGCTTGTCTGCTATGCATTGTATCGGTTTGGCCGGCGCTTCTTTGCTTGAGCATGCGATTTCCTTTTTCGTGTTGGCGGGCGTCCGATTGGTGCCAAGTGGTGTTGCGTTGTTAGCCACACACGATTTGTCATATATTCGCCATAACAGCGGGAGCGTTTTAGCCGATCGGCGCGGACGGCGTGGACAGGTAGGTCCATCTGGCGGGCATTATGTGCAATCAGGCAGGTTCTGGCAGCATCAGGCAAATCTTTAGGTCCCACGTAGAAGCGCACTCAGTTGGTTTTCGGTTTAGGTGTTGCTGTTTTTCGGTAATTAAAAATTATTCTCGCATTTTTTGAACATTTCAGTTATCGGGTGCGTGAGAAAAGTGTGTAAGGAACATAAAAGCACCATTATTTTGACATGGTTAAAGAATCGCTGGGGTTGGCCTTTAAGGCAGGTTAGCCACTCATATTTCATTTTTTAATTTCGAACTTATAGAACCTATTGTGATTAGGCTTCAAAAAGGTTATTTCATTATGCAAGTCAACTTAATTTTCTCTTTAGGTTGTATCAAAGGGGTCATGTATATTGAGTGTGGCTTATGTTTGCAAAATATTTAGTAAAATACACACAGTTTACATCTTTATGACAAACAACTCACAACAATGGTGCTGCATGACCGATGCCATGCAGGAGATCGGAACGCGTGCAGCCACAGCTCGGGGCGCTGCAGCCCGGTACCTGGAGCGCATGCTGCACCTCATCCAGAAGTTGGAGGACCCCTACGAATTAGCCATTGTAGCATATGCGCTCACTTTGGTCAACAGTGCTGATGGGGAAATGGCCTTCAACCTCCTCGATGAAAAGATGAGGGAGACAAGTATGTGCATGTTACTGGTGCTGTTCAAGCAAGCTGCCTATTTCTGCCTATATAGCCTTTAGTTGAACGCCAGAAAGAAATGGAATACAGATGGCACCCATTAGACAAGAAAAAAAAAAAAAGATAAATCAGTAATATTGTGCTCTTACTGGCAGCTATGTACTTAATTACTACGCTTAAGAAGTGCTTTTATATACAGCAGACTCGCGATAATGCAAACTCCGATAATTCATATTTTTTGGTCAATTCAAACAAAATTCAATTGTTTGGTTGGCCCTCTATTCTTTCAATGTATTTGAAAACCTCTTAATTGAAACTCCATCATTTGGTATATTCATACTTTTTGCAGGTCCATACCAGAAATTATCAGCTGCTTTCCCACTACCATTTCGAATTTGTGTGCTTATATAATCCTAACACTCTAAAAATGAAAAATAAGCATTTGAGGCCTTCAAGGAACAAGGCTTTGCAAGTAAACAAATGTTTGAATTGAAGCACGGACACGCATGGTATATCTTCTCAACTGGTATAGAGAACTTTGCACTGAAGGCACGTAGCTATAGCAATGAAGCAGTTGGCAATTAACGATTTTTTTAAAAGGTCTGATCAGCAGTAAATGGCTAAAAACTTGTGAAATTTACACCTCTTTTTTTCTGTTCACTGCATGCAGTTAGGGCTTAAAAAAAAAACACCAAAAAAATTTTAATGTGATAACATTAATGCTTAATCATAATCTGTGTATCTCTTATCCAGAGTCATCCATTCGAGAACCTCTGATAATTCAAACTTCTTGATAATTCAAACAAAATTCAAAGGTCCCTTCGAGTTTAAATTAACGAGAGTCGACTGCATTATTACACAATATTGCATCCACATGCCAAATGTGTATGTGATAACAAATTCTGCCTTCAAATGTAAGGTGCTCCAACTAACTTATTTCTTTTGAATTTATCTAGCTGATGAGAATACACCCTTGTGTTTTTTCTTGCTTAAAAAAAGTTGTGACAGGGTCTAGGTATTCTTGCATTTAAACAAATATGAATATAAAAAATAAGTATGGAAAACAGAGTGTTGCTGCATAAAATGTTTGTATCAAGTTGTTTTTTTTTCTGTGTTAGTTATGCTCCAGGTGGAATGCAGAAGTGATGATATGCACATGTGGAACAAACCTAAGGTTTGATGAATCGTGGGTTTCAGTTCTACACAATGATGTGATTGCGGTCTGAGACAGTGTGCAACAAGCCCTCACTGAGGTCGAACATGGAAGTGTCAATCTTTAAGTGAGAGATGTTGGTCAATTATGCAGCTTTTATTCTGATACCAACGGTGACACTTCAGAGCAGAATAGATCTAAGAAATTTGAAGTTACACGTGTGCCAATGATTAAGAAAGGACGGATTTGCAGATGAGAAAGACTGAGAGAGCCCCTTTGCTGCCCACATATATGTCCTTTCTTTTTTATTGGTGCTCATATACCTTCAGAAGTCATACGAACTCTCCAAGGGATTTATGCGGTTATATAACTGACCTTTGCCTCACCCACTATAGTATTTATTTTGGATGTCTGAGCACTCACAGTCGCCTGTGAAGTCCCAGTTGGCTACATTCATACAAGTGATGCCAGTCCATCACGCAAGTAATGAAGCATTCTGCACTCATTCCACAACCCATTTTTTGCCCCAGCTTGTCAGCTTAGAAGCTTTGTGTGTGCATGATTTCGAGCGTGCACAGTTGCTTCTTTATGTGCACTTTGTTTACTATTGTTTTGGATTTTGATAGCATTAGGCAATCAATCAGTCTGAAACAAAAAAACTCAGTTGAGCCTACTATGCATTTTGGTGGTAAATTAGGCTTTTCTTTCTGCAGCTGTGTGTACATGCACGAGAGAGATACAGTTTGGGTTTCCAGTTCGTAATTTTGCCATTTTCAGCAGAGCCAATCGATAGTAGTAATCCCCAAGCCTAACCCAATCCTCATAATAACATTATCTGATGTCGGTGGTACAATGGTGTTAATGCTGAAATGTGCTTGCAGTTCTGTGATAAAACATATTAGTTTAATTATTGCTCATAATCAGTCATTAGTAGCGCCTCCTCCATTTTTTCAGTGCCCGAGCGAAGGAGCGGATTTCAATGGGAAGCAGCCATCGGTGCTAGTGGAGCGTTTCGCCGCCAGGCGCCGCAACTAGAGTACAGATGCCACCACATCGTCTCTTACACAAACGAATGTCATGGCTGCATTCGAAGCTGCTATACGGCTCATTTTTCGGATCTAATCGCATTGTTTAAGGTGTCATGGAAACTTGGAAGCGAGAATCGTGAAGCGTTCTAGGCACTCAGCTCATTTCAAAGGCTTGAATTGTTCGTGACTACGAATGTCATGGCTGCATTCGAAGCTGCTATACGGCTCATTTTTCGGATCTAATCGCATTGTTTAAGGTGTCATGGAAACTTGGAAGCGAGAATCGTGAAGCGTTCTAGGCACTCAGCTCATTTCAAAGGCTTGAATTGTTCGTGACTACTTGATGCAGGCGCTCGAGTACCGTCTGCTAGCTAAACCGAATCCAGAAAGCTCATGCAAGTAATCCACTGAAGATTGTTTTGTCACCATGGCATTCGCTAGACTAAGGATTGCTTTTTTGACTAACTGAATGTCGATTTTTGAGAAAAGCCTTTGCCAGGAGCTAGTACTAAAAGCTTGGGTGTTTAATGTTCCCCGATGCTTGCTACTCTCTAGTGGCATAGCACATCATGCACAAGCTTGGAGTTCATGCACTAAATAGCACAAAATGTCACTACACTGCTTCCAGGGATACACGTCATCATCCGTTCTCTTCGCAAAGCCTGACTTGTTACTACCGAGAAAAAGCAAGTGTCAGAAAATGAGCAACTATGGCAGGTGATTTCACCGTTTGAGAGCTTAAATAATCAAATCATCATGAAATAGACAAGAACAGCTCTATATGCGGCAAGATTTCTGCGATCGTTGCCTGTGTTTCGAACAGATGCTGTTAAAGTCTGAAGTCTAATGCTGATTCTCAACTTGTGTGAAGGTTACAGGCATGAAAAATGCGGCTTGTCGTCAGTTGCTTGAGCTTGTCGGTGTATTCGTGGATAGATTGTTGTAGTCTTAATAAACGGCTGCTCAGCTCTGTTTCTTTCTGCTTCCCTCTGGCATCTAAATTCGGTAGGGAGCAGAGTAGAGGCCAAATGGCTGTGTGGTGCCCATGAGATACCATTCAGCTTCGGGGCGTAATGTTAGCGTTGTACACAGCAGTGATCGCGAGGCAGCGTTGCTACTGATAAAATAATTTGTTGACTGTTTGGATGCAGCGCGCTCCCGGTTAGTGATTCTAATTGCCATGTTGCCAATTGTGACTGGTAGCCTTCAGCTGTCCCTACTCATAAACTATAAAATATATGGGTTGTAAATGAAGGCTACATATCAGAGTGTAGTTCGAAGATTTATCATGAGACCGATTTTTCTGCCTGATTACTGCAAGCGCGCACGCTCCCCCGTAAAATTGCAGAAGCTGCAATTTCACGGAGCTACAACCGTACAGTGCATTAATGTGATAGCTCTAAGCGTCTCACCAAAAGTGAAAACCGATCGCTGGCGGTGTCCGGCGTCTTCTCGCGTCAGCAGCGTGAACACGAGTGATGCAAGCAATCATTACGTGAAAACGTCATCATATGCCATCACATATCATAAATGTTTGTGAAGTATCGGAAGGCGACATAACTTGATGGCATTCTATAACATCGTCGCTTGGTTGAAATGGGCTAATCATGAAGGCAGTGCATAACCAGCTGAGGGGCAGAAAGCTAGGTTTGTCTCCAATCCTTGAGAAGGTAAGAAAACCATGTTGGGTGCAGAAATATCCTGGAGGGAAGTAGGAAACATTTAGTGCATTGAAGCGGAAGAAAACGAGCATAGTTTTTGCCTTTCAGTTGTCTCAAATTTCCATGGAAATCTTAGTGGAGTCCATTGAAAAAACTTGAGTTGTTATCTCCAGATTCCGCTTCCGTGTTCTTTTATTAAATTTTTATTTACACAGAGCTGGTCTGACACTCTCCCCTCTTTGTCCGTTTTGCGAAGAATCTGAAACTTTTGAACATTATTTTGTCTCATGTCGTAATTATGCAGTAATTAGGAAAAGACTTCTAGCTATTCCGTTTGCAAAGCTAGGTTTAAGTTTAACCACAGAAACTGTTCTAAATTTTGGTGCCTCCATTTCGGGAAATAGCCACAGAGATGTATTTGATGCGGTTTGCAATTTCGTTCGAGACACTAAACGTATTTTAACATAGGGCCTCCTTTAACAAATACTAAAAAAAAAAGAAGAGTCGGGCAGTAATTTTGAAATGTCAATAAATATGAAACATACATCCCAAACTAATCTGGTTTGGCACACTCAGCTGTCTGGTCGGCCCCCAAAATCAAGGTGTAGGTATTAGATTAGTGATTATTTTATTTTTTTCACTCGCTGAATCTTTGTTTTTTTTTCTTTCGATAATGTCTTCCTTCTACATCCTTTACTTTTCTTTTTTTTTGTAAGCAATAGTGCAGTTATCCCCTATAGGATACTATATGTTTTCTTGGCCAATCCCCCAGAGTGGGCAAGCGCCATGGATTCCAGGCTATAAACAAACAAACAAAACAAGTCGTCTCAAGTGAATTCATAAGAGGACTGGTTTTTTTTTAACTAATAAGAAATGAAAAAAAAAAAGACAATGTCTTTTTTTTTTTTCCGTCATATATACAGAGTGGTACACAGCAGTATTAGTATATACTGAGGCATGCAAATAATAGGATTTCGATAGCTTGAAAAAGAAAATAAAACGCAAATGCTATAAAACTCGAATACATATATTGAACCAGTAGCACAGCCTGACAGAGCCCGGTGAAAACAGCATGCCACTATGTTCGTCTTACTTTTTATCCTCCCTGCATCCGTGAAGCCATCAAGAAGCACGACTGCAAATTAACTTGCAGGAAAACACGAATTTGCAAGCTTCCTAATACGCGCGGCTGTTCAGCGCCAGCATCCTGTAGTGTACTCACGCAGCGCCACCATGCGGCAGCGGCGAGTGGAGGAGGAGCGCGCGCTTGACTGCCTGAAGAAAGCGATCGTTCTGGCACTGAAAAAAAAATAAAAAATAGAGGAGGCACTGGTCATCAGTTTTCGTACTGAAGCACATGAATGTTGGAGTGGTCATGTAGTGTAGCAGTTATTTCTTTCATATTTTTGTGTCTGAAGTAAAAGTAAAAATATTGTCATTTTCAGGTGGCATGAGGTACTGGTCCCGCACCGAACTGCCTGCACCTTCAGTGATGATTGAAAACAATAAGCCATACCTGCACCCTCGACTTCCCTACATTTATGATGCATCTAATATCGAGACCACAGCCTATGGTCTGCTGGTACATGTGGCACGGCAAGCAGTTGTTCAGAAAGAGATTGTAGAGTGGCTGAACACACAGCGTCTCTCATATGGCGGTTGGGCCTCAACTCAGGTAAAAATTTCCCTATTTTATTTCACGTGTTACTGGCGAAATTAGCCTTTTCACTAGCCTAGCACTGAAGCTGGCAGAAGTGATATACAGAGAATAAAGTGTGTTGATGAAACAAGAAGAAGGCCTAGCATAAGTCAAGAGGTATAATCAAGCTTTCCTTTCACAAATGACACATTATGTGCAAATGTCTTTAATGTAGGAGAAGCAAACATTCAAAATTTCAACATAAGAGTCAGTGTCTGCTATTTCATGGTAATGCAGTTCGAGAGAATCCTATATTCCCTCTTGTTTATTGTTCATTTCTTTTGAATATTCAATGGTAACCAACATGATTTAGATGTCGAAAATGAGAGACAGTGATGGATGATAGATGAAGTCAGAAAAGCCTTGGAGAGCATGCAAAGAGGTAAAGCTGCTGGTAAGGACCAGGTAACATCAGATCTGCTGAAAAATGGAGGACAGATTGTGTTAGAAAAACTAGCCACCCTGTTTACAAGGTGCCTACTGACGGGAAGAGTACCAGAGTCTTGGAAGAATGCTAACATCATCTTAATACATAAGAAAAGAGATGACAAGGACTTGAAGAATTACAGGCCGATCAGCTTGCTCTCCGTAGTATACAAGCTATTCACAAAGGTAATTGCTAACAAAGTTAAGAAAACATTAGAATTCAATCAAACAAAGGAACAAGCAGGATTTCGAACAGGCTACTCAACAATCGACCACGTTCATACTATCAATCAGGTAATAGAGAAATGCTCAGAATATAGCCAACTACTATACATACTTCATAGATTACGAGAAGGCGTTTGATTCAGTAGAAATATCCGCAGTCATGCAGACACTGCGGAATCAGGGCGTCGATAAAGTGTATATAAACATCCTGGAAGAAATCTTCAGGGGATCAACTGCTACCATATTGCTTCATAAAGAAAGCAACAGAATACCAATCAAGAAGGGTGTGAGGTAGGGGAATACAGTGAAACCTCTAAACCGTAGTTGGCCGGAGCTCGGAAAAAGTACGTACTAAACGGTAGTACTGCCTAATCAAAATACCGTCAGGTCGCTCACTTTACCTGTCAAAAAAAGAAACCTTCAGGGAGTGTGATGAAAGAACAAAAAACGTGCAGTAATTTATTAATTTCGCGTGACAAAGTCTGTAATCCTCATTTGACGACGCGGCGGCCTAGTAGCAACGACAGCGGCCTCAAACTCACTTATGCTGTGAGCCAGCTTTTCTGCCAGCCCCCTCTTCTCGGCAAATACCCGCATGACGCTGACGCAATGCGCAGCTTCGGCCATTGTCGGAGCTGGATCACCTGTGTTGTCGCTTTCATGTCGTCCTCATCACTATCATTTTGCGACACTTCGACAACCGAGGCAACAATGGCTTCGTCGGACATGTCCGGAGATGTCTGTACATCGCTGTCTGCGTCTCTGAAGTCTAGAAGGTTTTGCCCTCCGTAACACCCTGCCGCTCTAGCATTTCAGCTAGCAGAGTTTTGCAAGCTTCATCTACGATGTCCGAAGTCTGGTCGATGGTGTCACTGGCGTCATCTGCGTCGCCCGCACACACACTGAAGCCGGCACACTTTGAAGCAATTTTGAACTGTCGTTGCTTCAACCTGCTGCCACGACTATTCGAGCAGGTGAATCGCGCCAATCAAGTCGATGTAGAATAATTTGCCACATTCAATGGAGAGAAGAAATCTCCGCAGTAGATTCTTCTTGTAGAGCTGTTTTACAGCTCGAATGATGTCTTGGTCCAAGGGCTGGGCAATCGCTGTTGTGTTTGGTGGCAGAAACGACAACTTCACAGTCGTCAGGTTGTCCAGGGCAACGTGCGCTGAAACGTTGTCTAAAATAATAACAGCTCTTCTGTTCTTAGCCGCAAAACGACGATCGATGAGGCGCACGTACTCCTCAAAGAGTTTTGCCGTCATCCATGCTTTGGTGTTGCTGCCATAGATGACCCCTGATGGCAACAGGGCACCTTTGAAACATCTAGGCTTCGTCGACTCTCCAATCACGAGGAGCAGAGTTTTGACGATTCCAGTGATGTTTACGCAAAACGGCACTGATATTCTGTCTTTTGCATGCCGGTGCACGTCTCGCCTTTGAACGCAAGCGTTTCGTCTGGTAGCAGCTTAAAGAATAGCGCCGATTCATCCATAATAAAGATGTCATCAGGTGCGTAGTCTTCCAAGATGTTTTTCTGCTGACCATTTTGCCACTGCTCCGCGCCATCCACGTCAGCAGCAGCACCTTCTCCCGAAACAGTCCTCGTGGTAATGCAGTGCCTCGCCTAAAATCTGGCCAGCCAGCCATTGGTGCACACGAAGTTGTCATGGTTGAGCTGCGAGGCAAAAACCAGGGCCTTCTCCACGAGCAGGGGTCCGCTGATAGGCAGATTTTTTGACCGTGCAGCTTTTAGCCACTTCACCAGCGTCTCCTCTACATCCGGAGACACCGAACCGCATAGCCGGCACCTTTTCGCAGTTGCAGCAGCACTGCTGAGCAACTTCTCTCTTGAATTCCAAATTTCACACACCATGGTTAACGGCAGGTCCTTTTCGCATGCCAGCGCCGAATTTTTCATGCCACTTTCAATAGCACCAATTATGTCCAATTTCTCCTCTATCAGCACTCGATGCTTTTGTCCCAGCTTCGGCATGACGCAAGTACGAAGCAGCACAAGCACACATACACAACACGTGAAAAATGATGCGAGAGCTGTACGGCACGGATCAACCAGAGAACACCTATGCACGGCGCCAAAGGAACAAAGAAAGCAAAGCATGCGCACACCGTGTTTGCGTGTTTGTGCAAAGCGCCATCGCGTGGACAACACTAGAAGCCTAGCCGGCCAAGTGCTTTTTGTTGCAGAAAAATCTAAGAGATGGCGCTCACCAACACAGCCGCCATCATCATCAACACAAACAAGCGAGGCGTGTTTCGATCTCTGGGGCTTGCTGTTCCGTCGGAACGCCCAGTGGGACACGACATGCCGCGGCGAGTGCGCAACGAAAATTGGAAAAACTACTTATTAACCGATACATACGCGATAAGCTCGTACGGCTTATGCGGATACAAAATGCATTATGTTCAATGGCTGCCGAGTTGGGGATTTGACTTCACTACTTTTAAAACGAAACTACTGTTTACGCGGGTACGGTTTAATGAGGTTTCACTGTACAATCTCCCCAATGCTATTCACCGCGTGCTTACAGGAGGTTTTCAGAGGCCTAGAATGGGAACAGTTAGAGATAAGAGTTAATGGAGAGTACCTTATTAACCTGCGCTTCGTCGATGACATTGCATTGAGTAACTCGGGGGACGAATTACAGCTCATGATTACAGAACTGGACACGGAAAGCAGAAAAGTAGGTCTTAAAATTAATCTGCAGAAAACGAAAGTAATGTACAACAACCTCGGAAGAGAGCAGCGCTTCAAGATAGGTAATAGTGCACTTGAAGTTGTAAAAGACTATGTCCACTTAGGGCACGTAATAACCGCGGAGCCGAACCACTAGATTCAAGTAACTGGAAGAATAAGAATAGGGTGGAGCACATTTGGCAAGCACTCTCAAATTATGACAGGTAGATTGCCGCTATCCCTCAAGAGGAAAGTATATAACAGCTGCATCTTGCCGGTACTTAGCTATGGAGCAGAAACCTGGAGACTTACAAAGAGGATTCAGCTTAAATTGAGGTTGACGCAGTGAGCAATGGAAAGAAAAATGGTAGGTGTAACTTTTAAGAGACAAGAAGAGAGCAGAGTGTATTAGGGAAAAAACGGGGGTTAAGGATGTCATAGTCAAAATCAAGAAGAGGAAATGGACATGGGCCGGGCATGTAGCGCGTGGACAGGATGACCGCTGGTCATTAAGGGTAACTAACTGGATTCCCAGAGAAGGCAAGCGGGTTTAGGGGAGACAGAAGGTTAGGTGGGCAGATGAGATTAAGCAGTTTGCGGGTATAAATTGACAGCAGCAAGCACAGGACTGAGTTGACTGGCGGAACATAGGAGAGGCCTTTGTCCTGCATCAGGCTGATGATGATGATGACGATGATAACAGAAGTCGGAACTCTTCCAAATAGTTCTTGTGAAAGAGAGATGTGATCTTCTCAAGCAGTTCCTGAGCAAAGGCAGAGGTCAATAACTATACAGTCGAACCCCGCTACAACGAAACTGACGGGGTGCGAAAAAAAATTTTGTTGAAGAAAAATTTTGTTGTAGTGAAGTCGAAAAAATATAGCTGATCTGAGCTAGCAAAACAAAGGAACGTTTATTCTCAAAATTCAAAAAGTGTCCGCTGCTTCCTATTCTTTCCCAGCAGCATCACGACGAGATTCTCACCCATGCATAGCGAGGCTATGGTGAAAAGCACACTGAAACAAGGCCTACAACCGCTGGTGAAGTAACCAAACAGCTGCATTAACGTTAACACCAGGAGCTGTGGCAAGGTAGTGGCAAAAGCAGGGCAGTCTCATTGCCATCACTATCGAGCAATGGCGGCACCCATGCTTGCTGAACAGCGACGGTTTCTGGTGGTGCCAACAGGTGTTTTAGACTTCGTCGATGTATTTTCAAGTTCTTACAATGCATCAAAATGTTAAAGACTGTGTTACTGTATAGCAATAAATATCTGAGTCTGGAATGGCATCCTGAAATTTCGTTGAAGCAGGATGGCAGAAGAAAAAGTGTTCGTTGTGGCGACAATATTTATGCATTGACTCGTATGGACCGCTGACGGGGAACCGTGAATTTTTCGTTGTAGCGGGAATTTCGTTGAAGCGGCATTTGTTGTAGCGGAGTTCAACTGTATCTGCTCACTTGATATTGTAATTCATTTCAAATACAATACCTTGAGGCTGGCATTATACGAATGAGTGCTGATTTAGGCAATGTAACCTATTTGGCCATTTTCATCTCAAAATTAGTACATATCTGCAGTCCTATATGTTATCACACTTTTCTTGAACCAACTCAACATTCTATATTTATATTGTGGCAAGCTGTTTCTCTTTTTTCCCAGCATATGACATGATCGAACAGAGTTGTTTCTTACTTACAAACTACTGTTCAGTGTATCGGATGGGCATTTGCAAACAGCTTTAAAATGAAAATACTGTCAATGGGCCTGTCTCTATCTTTTTTTTTTTTTTTTCAAGACACCACATATGCTTCACATTTCACTTTTTTTGGAAATGAGTACTCTTTTTACAGTTCAATTTCCTGGCAATGTTGTTTCTCAAATGCTTTCAAAATTTTCCTGTTTAAGCACCCTAATTTGGAAATTTATACTGTATGTATACACTCCAACCAATTGTATATGGACTCCCCCTTGAAATGTGCACTCAGCGATCAAGCCGCATTTTCTTTTTTTTTTTTCTGTGCATTTTCGTTTAAAAGGCTAACAACGCCTCCTCAGACAAGTTGGGCTTTTTGTGTTTAAGCAAGGCCCGCTTGGTCGCAACTGAATTAAACCACGTTCGCAATGAACTTTCGTCATTACACTGAAGTGTGGTACCGCCACATGGAACCAATAATACTGGCTAGTTTCGTGCAGCACTTCGCTAACTCGGCTCTCGCCATCGCATGCGGGGCCTTTTGTAGTTTAATTTTTGCTAGTGTTTGTGCATTTTTTTAAGCATCCTTCATCCTGGATCCGGCTCGAGAGCGGCGAGTATCCTTTAACATCATGAAGGCAGGCATTTTTCAAGCAACACGCAAGCAGCCTCTCACAAATGCGGTGGCGGTGAACTTTCGAACTACAGCATGGCGCACTTGTACTGCCATCACACCCTGCGGTTTAAACATCCATAGCCGAGCAGATACCTGCAGGTGGCTATGATAAGATTGTCCGCAATGGGTCAAAATGACACGTTCATCGCCACCGGCCACCTCGCCTGCTCTTTTTTCTGATGCTTATCCGTTACGGCACTGCCGCAACCACACGAAAGTCGTCATTCAATTCAATTCAATGCAATTTTATTTCATCCCAAGGATGAGGGCAGGCTCGGGAGAACAGTGACGTTTTGTCACTTGAGGAGAACCCGAGCCTCCCTAATACATGGCAAGCAACGTGGACATGGGTAAAGAAACATAGGCCATGAACATATAGGCAATGAACATAGGCCATGAGATGTTTGGTGCAGTACAAGTCGGAAGATGCACGTACAGTAATGCTATGTACAGAGACTAATATGCGTAAGTGGTTCTTTCGGCACAAATTCCGAAGTACAATGCAAAATATGACAGAATACAAAATACTATACATATGACAACAATGCTATGCATAGAAATTGCGTGTACACACATACACATAAATATACACACATATATGCAGATGCATATACAGACACATATATATACACATACATATATATACACATATATATACATACATACATATATATACATATATATACACATGCATATATATATATATATATATATATATATATATATATATATATATATATATATATATATATATATATATATATATATAGACAGTTCCATGAATGCCTGGACCACCATTTTCTCGATTTTCACGATAAAAGCGCTTCCCTAATGTCACGTGCACTGCATTTCTCAAGGATTATTTTTGCCTCCAGTAATTTATTTAATAACAAAGGAACACTAAAACATAATATTTGTCGCCCAAAGTTCGTTCTACAGAATGGAAGGTTCCAATGTTGTTGGTGACGAGTAGGGTACGGATTAGCATGCGTTTGCAATACAAAAATATCTAAGAAGGCACGATTGTTATGGAAAAGGGATTGCTTATATCTTATTGCTAGGGAATACTCGTAAAGTTTGTGAATTGGGACAATATTATAGCGCTGGAACAGTTCATCAGTGTGTGCATAGTAGTCGACATTTGCTATAAACCTGATCGCTTTTTTTGTAGTCTGTGTATTTTACTTATGTTGGTTGCTGTCGTACTTGCCCATACCAAAAGACAATAATTTAAATGCGACAAAAACAAGCTGTTATAAAGTGTTAGTTTAACAGAAACTGGAAGAAAATAATGCATTCGTGCAAGTATGCCCACACATTTTGATAGGTTGGTAGTTAGATTATTAATCTGAGGATCCCACGGCATTGTGCAATTAAAAAGTACTCCTAATGTTTTAACGGTTTCTACAATTTCAACTGCCGTGCTACCTATACGTAATCTATTGTCTAAGGAGATCTGTCTCTGCGAATGAAAAACTACAGCTTTTTTTTCTGTTGCTATACAGCTTTTGTTTCTGTTGCTATAATGAGTAATGAATTTCGTTCATTCCATGTGTTTAAACTTTCTAACGTAGTGTTTATAAGTGTGGTCATGGCAGTCATGTCGTTACCTGTAAAGAAAATGCTGGTGTCATCCGCGTATATTATGTATTTAGCTTTGTCACTGACCTTGACAATGTCATTTATGTATAGGTTAAAAAGCAGCGGTCCTAGAATGCTACCTTGCGGAACCCCTGTGGTTATTGCCTGGAGAAAAGAAAATGAATCCTTAATTTTTACACATTGTGAGCGGTACTTGAAGTAAGATTTCAAGAGGGAAAGTGGAATGCCGCGAAACACCATATATTTCTAATTTGAAAGCCTTAGAAAAATCTATGAAAACACCAATGCAAAGTTCTTTACTCTCAAGCGATTTAAGGATTATTTTTTTCTGAGCTAGTAAAGCAGTCTCCGTCGACCTGCCCTTCATAAAACCATGTTGAGATTGGAATATTATGTTAAACTTCATACAAAAATTCATGGGTCTTTTAAAAATAATTTTCTCCAAGCCTTTTGAAAATATGGGTAATATAGAAATTGACCGATAATTCGTAAGATCATTCTTGTCTCCTTTCTTATATAACACGCTGACAACGGACGTTTGCATTTGTTTTGGGAAACAGCCTGTTGATAGGAACAAATTATAAATGTGAGAGAGCACGGGAGCTATGATATCGATTGCATGTTTGATCGGGGAAATCTGAATACCATCTATGTCACGAGCGCTGCTCTGTTTTAGCGTGGAAAAAATTGAAACTATTTCTTCATCATCGGTTGGTTGAAGAAACATGTTCGTTGTCTGTATTGTCATTGCGTCAATTATAGCTGTCTACGCTGTTTGTGTCGGCTGTGCAACGTTTGTGAGAAAATGATGAAGTCTTTCTGTGAGTTCTAAATCTGTAACCGCTCGACCATCTATATTTATTTCAGTAACCCCAGGAGAGATCGGTGTCTTGTGAAGCAAAGCGTTAAGTTTCCTCCACAGTTCTGCACTCCCTTTGCAGTTGTCTGCATGGAATTGTTGATTTAAGTAATTTCTTTTTTATTTCTTGATAAAGGCATTCACCTTATTGCGGTATTCTTCAAATGTGCTTAAGTCTGATGCATCCTTAGTTTTTAAAAACCTTCTGAATAACTTTGATTTCTTTTCGATCATTCTTAAAACTCGCGATTGATCCATGGTTTGCGACTTCTACGGCATTTCTGTAGAACTTTTTCTTTAAGGGAAGATGCTCCTCGAAAAACTTTTTCTTCAGATATTTGTGACAGCTCAATGAAACTTTCACTGGTTATAGAGTTGGAGCTCCTCTTTTCAAATCTGCTTTTATTTTTTTCATGGCTCATTTAGTTAATTTTTTGCAGACCATGCATTTGTAAAAACAATGCGTTCTTGTGCAAGCTTAGGCAACAATAGTAAGCACAAGGAAGCTCTAAAAAATAGCCAATGTTGCTCTTGTTGGGACTCCGGGTCCTGCCGGTCTCGTTTTCGGTAGCTGGCCCCGTCGCAGGATCCATCGTCCAACAATTCAGCGAGAAAGAAGCGCCCGAACAAACGACAGAGATTTATTTACATGTGGAGAAGTGATCAACTGATCCAAAGAGAGAAGAGAGAGAGATACAAAACGTCTGCGGCATTTTATAGCACCGCGTTGCCGAGACTGGGCGCACTGTCCGCATCGTCAGCCAATACGGTGTCCCCGGCACCTCGGCCACGAGGGAGGTGGAAACACCTCTCACAACACATGGAGTGGCACAACCTAACACGATGTCCATATATGGTCAAGGCGCCCCAAAAAAATGCCCAAACATGGTCACAAACGCACAGCAGATTCCGGAGTTCTCCCGGCGAGAGGAGGAGCCTGAATGGGGAGGTGGGGGTGGACGACACAGTTGGTCAAGAACCGGTTCTCCCCCAAACTCCTCTTGCTTGGTTCCCTAGGGCCGGTCGTAACAGTCTCTCGCGCGGGGGGGTAAAGATCTCGATGGGCTGAGGTTTGCAGCCACTGTCCGGAGAGATCAGCGCCGGCAGTCGGTTTGGTGACGACCCTGCTTCATTGTGGGCTCAACAGACATCACATACGCACATGAAAACACAACTACTCAGCCGGTGAGCGCCGGACAATTCCTCCAAACTCCACCAGGCAATTTTTCCCTTTAACTGATATTAAAGGAAATACACAATTTATTCAAAATCTTACTCATACGTTAAGGTGACACAAAACAACAACACTGGAAGCACACCGAACCCGAAACCCTGGATAGCCGTGTCTTCAACGTTTTCAAACAAGTACACCTAAAAGAGTAAAAAAAAACAATCACTAGCCCTTGTCTAGGTCAGGAAAAAAAATGCCAGAGTTCTCGAGACATCCTCTCGCGTCAGGGGCATCGACTTAAGCCATCAGCGTTACCATGGAGTACACCCCTTTTGTAGCGTATTTCAAACGTATATTGTTGCAAAACGAGGCTCCAACGCAGCAGGCGGCCGTTCTTAGAGGACATGATCTGTAGCCAGGTGAGGGGACAATGGTCCACTTCCACAATGAACTTGCTTCCGGCAATATAACAAGCCAGTTTCTGGACTGCCCAAACCAAGCACGCACATTCCTTTTCGCTAGCGCTGTAAACCTGCTCGCGAAGGGTGAGTTTCCGGCTAACATAGAGGACGGGATGCTCTTCATCCCCCTCATCCCTTTGACTAAGAACTGCCCCCATGCCTCTATCACTAGCGTCGCATTGGACTATGAAAGGCCTCGAGTAGTCCGGTGAACTAAGCAAAGGTTGGCTCGACAAGGCCGCTTTCAAAACGCGGAAAGCCTTTTCTTTCGCCTCATCCCAGTCGACCATTTGGGGCTCGGTCTTGCGCAACGCGTCAGTAAGAGTGCTGGCAATGTCGGAATATCTAGGGATGTACTTACGATAGTAACCAGCTATTCCAAGAAAAGCCCGAATATCGGTTTTCGTTCGGAGCTGGGGAAAGTCCCGGATAGCTGCCTCTTTCATTTCAGAGGGACGGCGATGCCCTCGACCGATAACATGCCCGAGATAGAGTACCTCTGCTTGTGCTAGCTGACACTTGGGCGCCTTTACCGTTAAACCTGCTTCGCGTAGGCGTGTCAGTACTCTCAAATGCGCCAAATGTTCTGGCCAGGACGAGGAAAACACGGCGACGTCGCCCAAGTAAGGCAATGCGAAGTCCTCTTGACCCCGCAAAACCTTATTCATTAAGTTTGAAAAACAGTAAGGCGCGTTCTTTAGGCCGAAACTCAACACTTTAGGGCGGAATGTCCCCAATGGTGAAATAAATGCAGCATACCGGCTCGCCCTCTCGGTGAGCGGCACCTGCCAGTAACCTCTCACTAGGTCTAGCGTTGAGATAAATTCCGCGCTGCTTACCCTCTCGACGCGTTCCTCAATGTGGGGA